TTGATGTTTTTCCTCCCATGCACCCATGCCAGGTGCAGTCCTACCTCATCATCATTACTGTGCTCATTCTCCTCCATTTCCCATGGCACAACTGGGGAACTGAATGTGAAATAAACACAAATACATTTACTTTGAGTTGCTTGGCATGGTGTTGTAATTAAAAGATAGAGCCAACTCTCTCTATTTATTCAACAGGGATGCATTGTTCGTCCTCCTGGTTTTTGTTTTCCCAAGTACTGTCTCTTCGTGGCTGCTCTCTCACAGACTGTAAGTTTGGGTTTTTTTGGTTAGGTTTTTTTTTGTTGTTGTTGTTGTTTGTTTGTTTTTTCCCAATGTTTGGCACATTTAAAACGAATGGGCAGGTACACTGAGCTAATGCGAAGATTGTGCTGTTCTGGAGAGCTGGTCTGGCCGATGCTGAGAGCAGAGCAGCTGCAGACCGCCTGCAGATGTGGGCCGGACGGACAGTTGCTCATGAGTGATTCCATTATATTTCCTCAGATCCCTCTTTGAGCCACGTTGGGCAACTGCTCCCAACCTCTAATGGCTTCCTTATGTTCTCTCCCGCTCTTGTTCAAGCTGTGCAGCTGGCTGCCGGGGGGACAGCACGGTGACAAAGGCTGCTGCAGCACGCTTGGCAGGCAGATGCTGCCTGACAGGGCATGGACAATGCAGGGGCTCTGCTCCCTCTGTAATTGGTGGCTGCTGCGTGCCGGGTAATTGGGCTCATGGCCTCTCCAGAGCGGGTGGAACAGGCTGAAGGACATGGAGAAAAGGCTGCTTTGGTGGGAGCAGTGGGTTAAAGCAAGGCACTACTGTTTCTGGATCCTGGGTAGTCATAGGTTCCCTGTTGGTACTGACAAAGGCCCTTTTCTCATTGTGTTTTGGAGCTGTTTGATCACTGTCCTCTGGCCCTGCCTGAGAGGCATCACAGCTGATTGTATAATAACTCAGTCTAGCGTTCAGGACAGGCTTTGTAGGAGCCTGCCCAGAGCTTTTGATCAGCAGCTCCTAGTTCAGATGGAGCTCAGGAGAAGTGGAGGAAGACTGGAAAGTCTTTTTTACCAGAACTTAGTGCTGCCTTTATTTCCAAGTGCACAGGAATTGCTTCTGAGATCCTGGCTGTTCCTGAGCTCAGACTGTGCCCTAGTGCACAGCTTGTGGTGATGGCACCCACTCACCCTTCTCTAAGAGGTGAAACTTGACAAAGCCACTACTTCTGTGCTGCACATAGCAGCCAAGCCTTTGTCAGCATAATTAAATGAAACACCAAAATACCTCTGTCATTAAAGAACACAAATCTTTGACAAGAGCATTGAGGTAGGTCTGTCCAAAGCTCTTCCCTCAAAGAGCTTTTCAACTCAAACCTCAGGTTTTCTTTGAACAAAGCCTACATCAGACAAACCTCTTGCAACAGAGATGAGAGAGAGAAGAGACAGACTAGACATAGGGAAGGGTTTGTAAACAAATCCCCTGCTGCTCACTTTGTCCCTGCTTCCAGTCTTGCTTTCAGTCAGCTCTGTGGCTTTCTGGGCTGAAGCAGACTGCAAGCTCACTGTAGTCCCCAGGGAACTTTTCCCATTGTCACTGGGGCTGGTTTCTGGCTTGTCCTGCTGCTCTCAGCTATCTCCTGAGCCTGAGCTGTGTGCCTGTGTCTCCTTGATGTTTGCTTCTCCCCTCTTAAGCACACCAAGTAGCTCACACATGAAGATACCATATCTTTTCCCCTGCGGAAGGGCCCACTTGGCTGTGTTGTCCCCTTTAAAAGAACATGATATACCAAGAGAAACAATTAAATTGGATACTCTATCCTAGCCCCTAACCCAGATATTTTTCTGGAAAAGGAAGGGTTTGTTGTGATAAATGTGAAACATGCAGTATAAGTATTTAGCTACAGTTAACTCATCTGTTAACTGTTAATGTTTCCTCCTATCTTTTCAAAGTTTTTTTGTGTGTTTCTTTGTATGATGGAAACATCATACAATACTGTTCATTCCCATCTCAAAATAAAAAACATCTTATTGAGTTCTCATACAATAGAGGAAAAGAGCAGTTGCCCACACCTCCAGTTTGTGCAAGGTTAATAACTGGATGACCTACATGACTGCTTTGTATTTCAGCTGGAATTCATGCTTTCAGATCCTTAGTTTGTTATTTTTGGTGGCCTGGGCTGTTTATTTCTGCCAGTTGAGAAGATGTGCTTATAATGAAGCGTTTAGTTTAGTATGTGGTGTATTTTCTGCATGGGATGGATAATTCTGCTCCCATTTTCTGCTGTTGTAGACCTGTGTGAATGCAAGTACAAGGGCTTTGATTAAGAGGAAAGTTCTGACAGGTGATGATCTGATGAGGAGTTTCTGGGAGCTGCAACAAGCCTTCATCTGCTAAAGTAATGGAGCTTTGCATAAATTAATATGGTTCCTTTTTCCCTGCTCCAGACTAAATCTTCCCAGAAAGTTCAGAGAAGTGGCTATGGTGGAAACACCCCTCTGTAAATGAACCACCAGTGTAGTGAGAAGTTACACAAATCCACAACATCTTCCCAATCCCATGGCACCAGAACAGCAAGACACGTCACATGACAGGGAAAAACAATGATACTGAGGAGGAGGAACGGACATGAAAGAAAGAAACAATAATAACAAGAATAGAGGCACATTGTCATTAAATGAAAACATCTTAAACAATGACCTTTCTGACAAACCACAGAAATAGCAAACATGCAGCCTTTTTTAATAACTGTTCCATACTGGAGTTTTGCACACATACCCCCTGGAAGCTTAATGCAATCCAAATGTCTGTCCCTTGGACAAGGCCTGGGGGTAAATGCTCTTTGACGCCTGAAGGAACAAGTGAAAGCTTGCAGGTTAGTCAAACCTGCAAAAAACCCATGCTCCTGACTATGCCTCTCTCCATTTCAATATGAATTTTTAACATTTGATGTTTTCTTCATATTTTTCATTGTTTCTAGAGGAGGGAAGTGAGGGGAGAGGGGGAAGAAGACTTTTAGTAAATGTTTTGTCATAAAAGGTTTGCTTAGTGTCTATGCCAAAAATAACTTATGTGGAATTTTAGTTAGCACTGATGTTGGGCTGCTGCAGCCCTCAGCAGTGTCATACTGCACTTGAAATGGATAAATGTCTCCATTTATATGATGATAGGGGTTTGGATGAATTGTCCAATTAGGCAGAAACTACAAGCTAAAGGGATGGACAAAATACCATATGGGATGATACCAAAATCAGTAGCTGTTCCCTCCTAGACCTCTCAAAACAGTAGATTTCTTATGAAGAAAGTATTCAGATTTTTTTTTTTTTTTAGTGTATTGAAGCCTTTTAAATTTTCACTTCTTTCTAACACCTTTAAATAGTGGGACCTATTATATCCAGTAACTATCTGGCTCTTAAATCAGGGGTCATTATGTGACTTTAATTTCTCAGTATCTCCTAAAAAATATTCAAAAGCCAACTGAAGAGCATTAGAGATTAATTGGGTTCAACTAAACAGAGCTAAAATACCCATAATGGACAAATGTTCACCTGTTTCTATTTAATGTTTTGTTACAAGCCTTTTAGATTGTTGTATCTTTTTCCTGTGTCTTTTATCAAAATTCTGTGTTAGGTTATTATACATATTCTCCAACTTTCAGAATTTCCTTAGGAGTAATGGTTATGCTCACAGCCTCCAAGTCTGTAGAGAGGTGAAACAAAGTAAAATTAAACTACTGCCAATCTTATTTTATGGTGTTTTACCAGAATTAAAATGTGTTGCATATAACTCAATAACTCTTATCGCAGTTTGTAAACTAGATGGAAGTAATGTAGTGTCAAGAACTATGGCACAAATGATGGAGTTCAGAAACTCCGAAGTGCCAAAAAATGGTTTCTCTCTACATAAAATGAGAAGGGAAATGGAGACTCTGCTCCTGTTTTCTGCTGGAGGCTCTGTGTGTATAGATTTGCCTGTGGGAGGACCAGGTTGGTGGTGGGCTCAAAAAATTCACTGGTTAGACAGGCAAGATGCTACCAGAAACTGCACATTGAGTGCTCTGCATCCACTGCTTCCTCCCCTGCCAGTTCTCTCAGGGCTCCCTTGGTGCTGTAAGGATAACTTTGCTCAGGCACGGATCAGGCACAAGCATGTCAGCTGTGATGTATCCTGTGACTCCATGCAGGTTCATCCCCGGTGACAGACCAGGGAGCTGTGCTTGGCTGCAGGCTGGGCACAGACACGTTGTACAGGGACTAACTGTGGTTGCTCCTGGAGTGCAGACAGGGCTTGTTCCAGACTTTCTGTGATAACTTATTACAGTTTGGGCAGACTTTCATATAATTTCCAAAAGGGCATATTAATGTCTTGTACCTCTTGAAAGACACGCTTTTAAATAAGATGCAGCTGCCCTGTACTTTCAGCCTGTTCCCTTGCTGCCTTATGAGAAAAGATGACTAACTCATTCACGGCAATCCTGAGCAGTAATAACTCCAAATTTATAGTGCACCCAGTATCCAGATGCCTCAGGGTGCCTGACAGGCTATAACTTAAACCATAACTTTAAAAAAATCCCGTGTGATTGGACACAATGGAGCCGAGGGAGGAATAGAAACCCTATTGTGTGACAAATAGAACGGCGTCCCACAAACAATCTCCAACCCAAACTCGCTGCAGCCCGGCCCAGGGGGGTGCCATTGTGCTCTCTGAAATGCCAGAGAGAAGCACTCACTGCAGCTAAGGGGAAGCATTTGGACAGGCAGGCTTGGCACAGGGAAAAGCAGAACCAGCTGCAGCTTCAGTCCGAGGGTGGGTTTTGTTAACCAAGGGTGAATATGAATACTTCAGAAAGGAAGCACCAGACATCTTACAGATGTCTTTTATAGCTATTGCTGTGCTTCAAAGAGCCTGCATTTCAGAATACACTTACACTCTTATTAATCTAATGATTGCTCTGTACATATAGACACAAACATTCTTCCATTGGTTCTACTCTAATTTCAGATACTTACAGAACTCCCTGTGACTTTAATCTGCTCTCAAAATCAACTTGTGCCACAAAGTGCAGGTGTATCAAGGGTTTGATTCAGCTGCTGCTCTTAGTGAACAGTGAAGATAGCTGCTGACGGGGGGACATGTGAGATCCTCTTCCCAATTACTTCAGTCTCCATACATCTCTGATTTGTGAAGCTGAGTAGACCTGTAAAGTTTAAACAGAAGTCTCTGTTTGAAAGAGGGAACTTATTTGAATCATGCTATTGTTGCTTGTAAGCAAAGACACATTTCTAATTTTTGTCTTTATTTCAAAAACATAATAATGAAGGGAATAAAGAAAAATCATATTCCTGCCTTTAATCCTCCTATTGCTTTCAAAACAGAGTAATTTGACTATGAAGTATTTGTAAGAACATAACCTTTGAAATAGCTGTTGGTTTTCTTTATTTTTCCTTTATTGTTTGTTTTTCTAAGTACTGCATAAATAAATTTACAGTTGATCATTGCAGACCTTGGCAATAATATCCAAAAATCATTTGAGCCAGAGTCATCATACTTGATGATTCTTATATTTCTTTTTAGAGTCTAGTCTGATATATTGATGTTTGGTACAGAGCTGTTGAGAACCCCTGGTGTCAGATGGAATATAATGAGGATGAAAGTTTTTAAATTGAAGTATTCAACAGAAAAGCCTTTTTCAAACACTCATCCTGCATGGTTTAATGAGAACTTAATTCCTGACAAATGCTGGTGGTTTTAATTTTTTTTTTTTTTTGTTAGGCTCAGTTCATTCTAAATGTGCATGTGATGTCCCTGGTTATGCAAGCCCTTAAGCTTTATAAAGCACCTCATACACAAAATTATTATTGAAGCTGGTTCTGCTGAGGCCTCTAGGTGGAAAACTCCCAGATTTGTTTAAAATTTTCACATTCAGAACAGAATATGTATTTGTATTAATATTTCTCTTTCTCAGAACAAAACGTGTCTTTGGATTGAATGGAGCAAAGACCCACAGAGCAATTTAAGTGTCTGTCCTCTATGCCTGTGTTAAAGCAGTTAGAATTTCCTATTCTTCCAGAGGAATTTCTTACAACACTGGGAAGGAAGTGCTTCCTCGGGGAGAATGTTGTTAACTGAGAAAGTGACTTCAGTGGAGGGCAGGTAGGCAGGAGAGTGAGAACCAAGGGAAGCATTAAGGCATGTTCAGCATAGCTGTTGCCCATTCTAAAGTCAGTAGCTCTCACTTTGCTGTGTGCTATTCTCTCTTAGGATATGGATGTCCAATTACATGGTGTGTTTATTTTAGCTGTTCTAAAAATAACTAAAAGCCTTCAAAGAAAAATAAATCCAGCAGCATTACAAACCATATCCCAGTTTGCAAATCTCTGGTGTCAGTGGGAATTCCCCTTGCATTTCAAATCCACTGTGTCCAGCCCTAATGGTTTGGGCTTTTGTAGGCCTTCAAGCAACGTGTTCTCTTCTGGGACCAGGTTTCCTGAGCAGAGGAATTAAGTTGCTCCAGCTCACAGTGCAGGAAGAAATGACCACATCTGTAGTGTAGAGAACTAGGGGATTTAAGCCCTTCACTGGTGGGATTTAAGCTCTTCACTGAAAGATTAGAAGGTAGTGGACACTCATCCTGTTGAAAAGAGGGTGACTCAAATGCTGTTTTTCTGAGAATGGGAAGAAAATAGTGAGGGAAAAGTGCATAAAAATTATGTGAAAGATGACCTGAGACAAGTCTCTGAGCAAAGGACGGCACAGATTGTGAAAATGTGTGCTCAGAATGGCAAAATTAATTTTCCATAGCTGGCAGTTCTGATAAATACCTTCTGTGTGTATGTAGCCATTCCCCAAGGATTTAAAAACATTCTGTCAAGCAGCTTAATGAAACTCCATGTTGTGGAGATTCATGGAGAAGTGAAAATAGGACTATCCAACAGCACCTGGCAGACATGAAAGGCAGAGGTCAGTCATGAGAGTTGTTATCCATCTGCTAAAATAATATCAGCAAACCACCAAGAGTTCATACTAGTCAGCTGTCTTCCTGCTACAGGAAACCCAGTGTGATGTTCCAGCTTCATGTCTTGAGGAACGGTGGAAAAATACTTCACAGGCATCAAAGCTCTTTTAAGGTTTTAGAAAGAATTTTTTGGATGGTTGGACTGCCAAACACGATGAGTTAAATGAATGGCACAGAACAGGTAGTGAAAGGGAGCCTAATTTCCATGTTTTTTCAGCAAATAAAAATAGAGAGCACAGCGTGGGAATTAGCTTGATGATGAACCTCGTGTTCCATGAAGATCCCTCTCATGATTAGGTAGCAAGTAGAAGAGGAAGAAGGCAAGTTTAAGGCTTATTGCTTCCAGAAGGAGCACAAGATTAGCTCCAGAGCAGGCTGTAGTGGGAATTGGGAAGGTATAACGTATATGCACCAGGGCATGTATGGGAATGGTTAGGACTGAAGGAAGTAGCTCACCAGGGGGAGGCTGGATCTGGGAAGTCACTTTCTATTAATGAAGGAAAGGCTGAATCGATCCTGAAGGGACTGACAAGAAAAACAGGGCGGGTGACACCAATTAGGGAAGTCACTCTCAAGCTGAAATTCCTGAGCTGAAGAAGCTACTTCTGGGATGTGTAAGGATGTGGCCCAGTTCATGTGCTACTGCACAGAGTATTTCTGTCACTCGCAGTCTCTGAGGAAATTAATGGAAATGGCTTGCACTGAATGCTTAAAGTAAGTATTTTTAACCATTCTCTACTTGCTTTTTAGACTTCTTTCCTATATCACTTAAATGAAGTTTTCATGTGAGACAGCAAAAAAAATTTTTCTACAGTCCCATTATATTGTGCTCCTTTTAGGTCCATCACTATGAAACTTGAATTACTAGCTTAATCTTCTACTTACTCAAAATTTTGTCCTTTTTTTTACCCCTAGTTTTGAATCCTCTCAAACAACCAAAGTGAACACTTGATATGCCATCAGCTGGGGAATGTAAGTACAAATGTATGTCTGAATTTTAGTACATTCAGAGGGGAAGGAGAAAAATTTTAATTCTGAAACCCTGGCAGCAACTCCTAGGAGTTCAAATATCTGAAAGAGATATTTTGACAGCAACTACTTTGTGCTTGTAAGCAAAGAATGAGACAAGTTTAAAATTTACAGCTTTTTATGACCTTGAATATCACAACACAAGGATTCTGTATTAGTTTACAGAAAACCCAAACAGCCAACTGTGCATTGATTAGAAGAGAGATTTTGGTAGGGAAATAATTTTTTCATTGTGATGTTTGCTGAATTAAAAAAGCATCAAAAGAATCAGTGTAGGGAAAAAAAACAACTCACCACACAAAAAACAAAACAAAACAAAACAAAAAAACCCAAAAACCAATCTTTAAAAATAGCTCTGAAAGGAATTTTGCTCAGCAAATCAAAGTGCATTAGGGAAAGAACAACTTAAGCTTTTCAAAGCACCAAAAAACACAGACAAAACAAACACTGTTAGAGCTGGGAAAGATCCTGAGACACTGAGTAGATGGGACTTTTTGTCATATTTTAAATAGGCATATTTAATTGTTTCAGAAAGTAGATGGCTTTACATGAAAGAGATTGAGTTTTGAGTGGGTAGTTTGACATACGGTTTAAACTGACTCCATGTCAACAGCTTGTTCCAGGTACTTAAGAGTCCCTGTGCCTGGTGATTACTGGTGGCAAGGGTGCCATTGTCCCCAAAGCAGGGCAGGCTCTAAAGGTGTAAACAACTCTTACCAGGTTCGGATAGTATTCTTGGTTTTTTTTTTTTTTTTTTTTTTTTTTTTTAAGTGGAACTCTGTACAACTGAGGAAAGGAAAAAAACCCAACCCTGAGAGGTCTTTATCCTAGTCCTCTTCCCATCTTTCACACAGACTCTGCCATGAGGCAAGCTGGAACCTTTCCCTTCTGAAAACTTTCAGTGCAAAACGAGTCAAGTGCAAACCCGGTTTCCATCCTGGTCCAGGCACTGTAGTGGGGAAAGTCTGGGAAGTCACTGTGAAAAAAGAACAATAGTCCCAAATGAAGTTCAGGACTTTGTACACAACTAGGCAGAGAAAGGGGCTTGGCAAATTCCAGGGAAATACCTGACTGAAACCTTTGCATTCCTGGTCAAAGCTAAGCATTATTTGCACACCTGAAACGTGCAGGTACACATGAATTGAGAAGGAACAGTCTGACAATACTGTACATGTCTCCACGTGAGGTACAATCCAGATAAGACAAAGATTTGCTTTGAAAGAGCTGCTCCTGGTCACATCAGGTTAAGATGAAGTGGATGGGGTTGGAGAGGAGATCCATAGGTTCAGGAAGGAAGTTTTCAAAAGATGCCTTCAAGCTTGGTTAAACTGCAGTGCATAAATGTTTTGTGGACCAGTACAAACTGGGAAGGAGGAGTAACTATCATGATTAACACCCTGTCTCAGGTGTGCCAGCTGCCAGAATCTAATTCTGGCATTGCTAGGGATGCTGCAAATGTTAACATTTTAATACTGCTCGATGCAAGGGACTCTTGAAAGGATTAAAAAGCCATTAGCCTCAGATTTCAGTCCAACTGCCTGCAGAGCAGGAGGAGGGAGGATAGAAATGTCAGGTCCCTGAAAAGTTTGAGATGATAGCAAACCATCTAAACAAGGGATTAGCAGTGAAAAGCCACCTTTTTTTCTCAGAGAATACATTTTCCCTCTAAGCTGCTGGACACTTCAGGAGCTGGCATGTTTACTTCTGGCATCTTGAAGAGCATTTTGGTCTTAGATCCTTTTGTTTGTTAGAATGTGGCATATTAAGTATGACACACTTAATTAGCTGTTCCTCGAATGGAGGGCCTAACATACCATGCCTCTGCTATGGTGTTGCAACAAGTACTGTAACTCCAGAAAAAGCTCTTGCAATTATTCTGTTTGTCACCACAGGTGGATTCCTGCCATGGAATTTCATGTGGGCCACAGCAGCTTTCATGACAAAGTAACAGCCTCTATCTGAATATACCTTGTTCTTTTTCCAAGGAAGTTACGTAAGTGAATTTTGACAGTGTAAGGTTTCAAATCTGAAGGCTGCTGAATCCCCTTGTGTTTCTCCTCGGTGTTTTGTATAGAGCAACCCAGAAACAGAGGGTCAACATGTTCAGTTTCTTTGTGCTGCACTGCAAGTGAGTCACAGCTGTAAGGTTAGTGGCCAGTTAAATGGGAAAAAAAGGGTATTTTGCTGCAGGTGGACAGGCAGTTGTGAATTTGTGATCAGTGTCACACCACCAATACACCATGAAAGGGAAGACTGGGGACAATTTTGTCCAGTGTTCCAGCACTTTTTTCTAATTTGCTTAAACAGAATAAGACACAGATAACAGCATTCCATGTTGGAGTAATAATGGCTGAAATTTACTAAGTAAAACAGTTGTTCTTGTGTACTGAAAGAGCTTAAAACCAAGACACAAATGCATACAAACTGTAATATTACCTTCCCATAGAATAAACATTTTAAGGTTCAAAATGAAGACTCCTCAGTGAATTTTTTTTCTCTCTTCTGCAAAGAAAAATAGTGAGGCCTTCATATAGTGTAAAATGATTTTTAGAATATTCATGACCTTTGGAAAAGGTCATAGACAGGGAAAATTATGCCGGCATTTTAATCTGATATATATTAAGAAAGACTGGCATCTAATCAAAGAAGTGTTCTGGTCTCCAAAATTATTAAGTATGTTCAATTATGTGTGGGGAAGCTTTGCACCTAGATCTTAATTAAAAGAATAGTTAAATTTTGCTCTTCGTCGTAAAACTGAAGCAATTGCCCCAGGCAACTTATTTCCTCTCAGTTCAATTTATTTGTTTTTGAGATGGCCGAATTCTTACTTATACAGATTTAGATGCTCCATTTTTATTACTAAATTAGTAGCCAGTGTCCAGGCTATCAGTCAGGGTGTGAAATCCGTGGGTCTGGTGCATTTTCATTTCCAGAATTATTCTTTCAACCATGTTGTTGGAGTCTTTCATCCTTTTTTGTCAAATTAAGGGCCTCATTAAATTTACCAGAGCAGTTGTTCATATATTGAACATCATGCAGTATTATATAAATTTCTCTGTATAAACATGCGTGTTGGTGGAAATATACATCACCTTTTGTCTTTATAAGATTTTTGTCTTGTAAAACTTTATGATAGCTAAACTATGAAACTGCAGATGCTAAGCACAAAATGCCATTGTGTGGAAATAGATTAGGGGATAGTCAGAGGGAGTTTTGTGTTCAGCTAGACCTGATTTTTTAAATTTATTTTTCCCCTAAATGTCCATCTATGGATGGGCAGGAATCCAATTTATCCAAAGCACTTTCATTATGATTTGTTCCCTGGCGTATGGTAGCTAAAATACATGACATTTGTTTTGCTCCTTCCAAATGACACCAACATAGAATTTTTCTAATACTTTGCTGGAAAACGACGAGCTTTTAATATTTAACTTCTACTGTTTATACATCTGTTAACGCAAAATGAGGTAGAGAGAAAAGAGGTTGTTATTCTCCAGTGGTTTAATTATTATCATTAGCATCACAATTTTACAATATGTCTATAAATAGGTTTTCCCCCCCCCTTTTTTTCCTTTTCCTTCTGCTTGCCTCACATGCCTTCATACTTATTTTTAATTCCTTAAGCAGATATGATTACAAATCCCTTTTCTAGCTACACCACCACTTCAGTTCAGGGAGCAACAATGAGTATGGCCTCAGTGAAAATCCCAGAAATCCCCAAGAAAGCTATTCAGCTTTCTAGCAGGTTAATGTGTATATATATGTGTATTTATATATTGTGCATATATAAAATGCATATTTATTATGTATATTGTAGTTTTGTGAAAGAGTACTGGTGTGATGTTAGCAACCTGTTGAAGTTGAACTCCTCCCTGTTTGACTACATTGTGTGTAGTTTTAGTCAGAAAAGCATGCCTTTGCTGGGAATGTCATGAGAATATACAGAATGCTCGTTTATTTTTTTTAAGACAAAAAGCCTCACGTTTGCACGTTCTCAAGGCTGCCCAATTTCTGCCTTCAGATCCGCGCTCCCTCAAAACCAACCCCCGAAAGCGAAGGATTACTTGGTTTCCAAGCGAAGCTGCCTTCACGCATTGGTGGAACACGACAAAAGAGGGGGGACAAACCCGAGGCGGGACACAAATCCGAGGCGGGGACAAGCCCGAGCGGGTCAGAAGCCCGAGCGGGACGCCGCCGTCCCCTCAGGCCGCCGCCGTCCCCTCACGCCGCTGCCCCGCCGGGCGCGCGCGCCCCCTGCGGCCGCCCCGCCCCGCCGCGCGCGCTGGCCCCTCCCCTCAGGAGCCGGGAGAGCCCCCGCATCCAGCCCCTCTTCCTGCCCCCTCCCCCGGACTCCCGCTCGCCGCTCCCGGTGGGATGGAAGTCCCCCCGTAAGCCTCTTCCTTCTCCCCGGTAGCAGGCGGCGGGCCCCGAGTTCGGTGCAAAAATGCTGGGCATGTACGTGCCGGATAGGTTCGCCCTGAAGTCGTCCCGGGTGCAGGACGGGATGGGGCTCTACACGGCCCGCAGAGTGAAGAAGGTGGGTGATGGCGGGGGAACGGCCTGGCCCGGCCCGGCGGGGAGCGGCTGCCACGTATCACCGGGGAGTTGGGCGGCTCTCCCGCCCCTCTGCCCCGCTCCAAGTTCGCCTGAGCCGCGCTGTGTGCCCGCCCGGGCTCCCTCTGCTCACGGGAGGCGCCGCCCGCCCTCTCCCCCCTCCCGGTACAAGGAGCCTCCCGAGGCGCCGCCGCCTCAGGCGGGAAGGGGCTCGGGGGCCGGCGGAGGGTTTGCTGTGAGGAATTTTATTTTCTCCGTTTTGTGGTTTATTTATTTATTTATTAAACTTGGTTTGTGTGTCTGGCACAGTTTTGAGGGCAGAGCTCCCCCGGGCGGGACCGCCTCCCTGAGGGTCCGCGCTCTGAGGGCAGGGGGAGCCCGGCGTTCTCGGGCTCCCTCACCTCCCTCACGGCTCTCCGGCCTCGGCACGACCGTGGTTTCGTTCTTTTTTTCGGCGTAATAAAGCCGGGCCCTTGAACGATGTCATTTAGCTGAACCGAGTCTCGTACTCCCACCAGGTGATGCCTCCTCTTCACACTTCGTAATTGAAATATCTTGACCATGTGAAATTCCAGCTGAGACTTTCCAGGTAGCTTGTTAGGACACATAAAGGCATACTAAAGCTATTAATCCATCATTAGTAGACATACACTTTTCTGTGTTTTATATGTTTTGCCGTCCATCTTTGTCCTCGTTTTGGCTCTGATTTTTTTTTTTTTCCTAATTTTTCACTGGTTTCATCAACAGGACTTATACTAGATGGGGTGGAGGTCTCACGTTTTTAAGGTGTCCCTGAGTGTTAAGGGGACCGGAAGGGAACAATTTTATTTCGTTTGGTTTCATTCTTTAAAACTTTTCTACTGAGGTTCTGAAGTTCCATTTCAAAACTTTCTGGGTTTACATAGTAAGGAAGGTTGTACACTATTAACATTTGTTAATCTCTGGACTCTGAAATAAGAGTGCAACTCATGGGAATCAGCGTCCCCAGTTCAGAGCTGGGGATCTGAGCTTCCCTCTGTTACACTGTTGCCAATTGAGCCATTAGAGCTGCATGCTGAGACGAATACGGCTCTTCCTGCCTAAATTATTCCACCTTACTTAGGAACTTCATACAGGCAACGTGTGTGAGGTCAGAGCTGTGCAAGCACCTAGAAAAAGTGTTGGAAGTGTGCTGTGTACTTCATGTGGACTGCAGAAGGCAGAGGCAGCTGCAGTAGGATCTGTTTGTATTAGGAGTGTCTGGTGACAGTGTTTGTTACAGACCTGTCCTTTGGCACTGAGTCCTCTGTGCTGGTAGCACAGGCAGCTGTGGTGTGCAGAGCCCTGGTCAGATGAACAGGCAGAGGAACCAACTCTTGAGTTACTCTGTGGTGTATTACAACATACTCCTAAAATATGTTGGAGACCTAAGTCCTGTCTTCTCTGTTGGGAGAAGGGTGGATGTGTAAATAAAACAGGTGGTACACTGGACACAGCCAGACTCCATGTTAGTCTTTTCCATGGAAAGAAAATTCACACCTGAAGTGCTCTTAACCTGTTCCCCTGTTTAGTAATGAGGCAGAAGTGTCAGACTTTGTGGGTGTGATAAAGAGTAGCTTATAGCTGTTAAATAATTTCCATGGAGTTTTGGGACTGGGAGGAGGTGTTGAGTGTGACACTTTATTGTGAAGTAAGATGTAAGTTGCTGAGTAGGAAATACTGCACTGTTTTCTCCCTGTTGCTGTCACGCAATTGCAGTTGTCTGAACTGAAAGTAAAAAAAAAACAAAATAAAAAAATTGGATGATCTTATAAATCAGAAATTGCAGTACCAGCTCTCCAAGTGTTGTGGAGGCCTCTGAAAATTCTGCTATTAGCAAAGTTTTGGTAATAATACATTCTGAACTGCTGCTGCCTGTCATCTGCTTATGCACCTTCAGGCATCCAGGGCTTTCAAGATTTTGTTTGTAATCATAAAAGGTGCAAAATTTTTGTTTTGTTGCCTTAACAAAGCTGTGACTCCCGTGTACCTTCTGTTTTCCATGAGCTGGCCTCAGGCTGCAGAGCGCTCACATCCTGAGGCTCTCAGTGTAATCATCAGAGAGCCATTGCATTTCTCAGTGTTTTGCTGCAACTGGAAGATTAGTCACTGCTGCTTTTTTGAAAGCAACTGTTGAAAATAGCTTTTTCAGCGCTGGAAAAATGTGCTTTTATATCCTGAATAATTTCTCCACCTTCAGACTGTGTTGTACGCCTTGCTTTTATTGAGCAGAGGGGAAGTTGAAGTCTTGAGTGTGTTTTTGATTAATGTCTGTTGGCATATATATATATATATATATATATATATATATATATATATATGAAGAAAATGGTCTGAAAGGCTAAACATGAAAGGCTAAACAATAATTGCACTTATCCCCATGGACCAAGACATCAGGTTTTGCTTACCCCCCAAATTTGAGAAGCCGTAAAAAGTGCTTAGAAATCTGCATCACCTGCAGCTTATGTTATGTTTACTCTGTGTTGAGAGGTGGACATGTTACTTTTGCTGTTGTTCTGAGCTTCCAGAAGGTCTTGAATACTTGAATACTGCAGTAGAGATTTCCTGGTTTGGAGTACTGAGGTGGGAATGGTGTGTGGTGTTTCTTGTTCTGAGCTGTTCCTGTGCTTCAGCGATGGGTGAAATGAACACTGCAGGTGCCGTACACATACAGCTGTATTTACCTATTTCCACCTTCCTTGCTGATGAGGTAAGAGAAGGAGGAAGTTTCAGCATGAGTATTGAATCCCAGGATTTGAAAAACTGGCAGGGGAGGAGCTCTGGCATTATTGATCAGCAAAATGATGAAGAGTGGTATGGAAATCAGTGAGAGCTAAGGATATGAAGCCCTGGAGTGCCAGTTTTTACTGTCACTGCCCCTATCTGGCTCCTTTGCTGCTCTGGGCTCCAGTTACTGAATTCTGCTGTTCTTGTGTTTTTACCTTCTGCTTTGCTGTTCCTTGTAGTGAAATGTTCTTTGTGCACATTTAAAAATTTGTCCCTCAGTTCTGTTGCCTTATAACAATTTCCTTTTCCTTTGTTTATTACATCTTCAAGTTTAATTTTAAATACAAGTTGTTTGTTTTTCTAAAAAAATTTGATTTCCTGTTTCCAAGAGGAACAGTCCTGGATGTTTTCCATTCCACTTCTTCTCTACTCTACCTGTAGACAATCTGTAAAAACTAAGCAAGAAGAAAAGCATGTAGCAGGCTGTTGCTGGGAATATGGAATGTGCCTGGAGGAAGGGACAAGATCAATACTTTTTTTTAACCAAAATACTGTTGTTTTTAAAAGAAATACCAAACTTGCTTTTCAATATACACTTAAAATCTCTAATTCTTGAAAGTATAAGTGCTTTTGGATCTGAATGCTGCCTGAAGGAACACAGCATCCTACATTCCAGGTGTTAGGGCCTGTCCCTACAAATAGGGACAAGGCAGTGTGTGTGGGGGGAAGTTGGGCCTGTAGAAGAAGAAAGTCCTATTAAATTACTTTGCCCTGCTGCTCCTGTGACGTCTGTGCAGGAAAAAAACCCTGACGCCAAATACTTTTGGAAGAACATATCAATGGATGCTTTCACGGCGGGTGTTATGACTAGCAGGTGGTAGAACATTTTAATTTTGTTTATGAAGGCTCAAATTAATTCATAAGCACGTGCATACTCTCTTACAATTTTAAACAAATCTCTCTGTATGATCAAGCCCTCAGTTATTCAGTCTTTTGATTTGTGGCACTTCAAAAAGTAGTGTTGCAAATAACCTTGCAAATAAATCTAATGTCAACTTGGTGCATGCCAAGTTCTTTGTTTTGGTTGGATGCCTGTTGCAAGGTGCTTCCTGAAAATTTTGTAAGAAATTTAAGAAATTTGACTTGTAAATTTCAGCCTTATTTAAGATAAAGAAAAATCCTGCTTCCCAAAGGAGAAATAAGCATGCAGAGGGAAGGTATGGCTTTATTAGATTCTTCAAAGTATGAGAAGAATGGGAATAAGCTTCAAGTTGAACCCTCAGGTATGTGCACCTTCTTGGCATATAGTAGGACAATAAAGGAAAACTCTCCTTTCCTGTTTGAGGCTAAAAATTACTCCTCTGCTAGAGTTTAATGACTGACTTGCCTTTTTCTTTTTTCCCCCTACTGATTCTTTTTCTTTTGTCATTATGCCTTAGGGTGAAAAGTTTGGCCCCTTTGCAGGAGAGAAGCGAATGCCGCAGGAGCTGGATGAGAGCACAGACTGCAGGCTCATGTGGGAAGTGAGTAAAGTGATGTCATCGCACCTCGCACAAACTGTTCTCACTATTAAGTTTTACTGTAACAAATCCTTCCTGTTTTGTTTCATAGCTTAAAGATCCTCTAGTGAAATTTAGTACTTTTCAATTACACTGCCTGGGTAGAGGAGGATTGACTTCTTTTAAACTAAAGAAAAAGCAAATGATGGTTTCTAATTAATGAGGTGTGGAAAAAACATCAAGTCAAGCCAAATACAAATATAATAACACTGTGAAAAATCATTGAAACATGTGAAAATTAGAAAAATTAAAATAATTTGAATTGGGGAAGCAGATTGTAAGTTACAGAGATACTGATTTATGCTCATCAACAGGTACCAGCTTATGGCTTCCTTCTGCTGTAATATGAAACATTTCCTGGTGTGACACTTGTGTTGGGATTTGGCAAACTATATAAGTGAAGTTTTAAAACTTTAGCAGTCTTTAATGCAATGAGTAGGTGTGAGGTTTTCAGCAAAATAGAAGCCTGTGGGCAACTTTTTTTTTTTATATGCATTAGTCAGGACCAGCAGTTCATGCACTAGTTCTTGTAATTAGGTACATAAACCCATCCTAGATTATGCTGTACCTGTGTGTGCCTGAAGTAAAATCTGAATTTACCACTTGAGGAGATTACACTGGCTGAAAAATACCGGCAGAAACAACATTTCCAACTTGTTAAAAATGCCTTCTTTCTGGTGCCTCTTTTCCATCTTTGTAATCTTTATTTACTGCTGTAGTTCTTTGAGCAGAAATTCTTTTTTCTTTTTTTTTCCCCCTCAGCCAAGCAGTTTCTATTGAATGCACATCTAATCCTCTTTTACACTGACAAGAGGACTAATTTCTTACTTTTTACCTTTCTGTGGTTAGAGGTGGAAGGACTGTTACTGCATGGCACAAATGAAACTTATGTTTGACATCTGGCTTAAAGCACTATTGGTGCATTTACCACAAAATACATGTTTATTTGAAAAATATCTGGCATTAACATCACTGAGCAGCTTATGAAGAGAGCAGAGTTTTGATGCCGCCTTAGCAGAGCTACAGATAGATTCTATACACTACAATGATGACTGAGAGAATGTTAAAAGCCCATCTTTTTTTACCCAAACTCAATATAAATATTATGAGTGGTGAAATATTCCTAGGTAAGTGCTAACTCCAGCCTGTGAGGTTCTGTTTTCTCCCTTTCCCTTTCTTTTGTCTATTTTAATCTAGGGGTGTGCCTCAAATGCCCTTTGCCAGAGAAGAGGTGTGGACAATTGTTGGCTTTCCCTTTTGGGTTATGTACTCAGAGCAGCCAGTTTCATTCTCTTTGTTCCCAGCTGAAACCAGAGCAATACACTGTGCTTTTATTACAGATGTTTACTGAGTACAGTTAATGTGCCCTGGCTCACTTGGCTCTTCCTGATGTTTCTGCAGGTTGTTTTAAATCAGTAAAATGCTTGTGCTAGAGCAAGGTTTTCAGAAAAGACAGTGGGTGGATTACAGCGATGAGAAGGTTTGTTGGAAAGCTTTATGATTTTCCAGATTCCTCATTGTTCATACTTAAATAGATTTCTCTGTTTCTGCATGACAGGAAAGAAAAGGCAAATACATTTATTTATTGGTGACACTAATGTGACCCCATTGACAGCAAATCAGAAAATGAGGTTTTTATGAGCTGTTTTAAAATAATTTCATAATATCTTACTGTAACCTAGTTTTGAGAACCTTGAAAAGATTCCTGCATACCAAATTTTATGACTTCCTGAATGTTTTTACCCAAGTTGTTCGTGTTTACTGAAGTTGATCTGAACGTGAGCTTTATAATATAATTTAAATCATGCTGGGAGTAGTCTGAAGTTGAAAATTGAGACCAGGAATACAGAAAGTAAGACTTGAACAGCCTAAGTAGATGGTTATTCCAGAGTCTGTGGGAAGCACGCACAGAAACTGGCCAAGTTTGTGTGTAGTCAGCTGTACCAAAGATATTAAAAATAATTAATTTGAAGGCTATTGGTGGGAGGCACATTAAAGCCTGACTTCACAGTCTGATGGCAGTCAAAAAAAAATGTTTTCAGAGAGAACACCTTCAGAAAGAAGTCTCAAGCAGTAGAGGCTTCTTGTAAGTCAAGGAAAAAAATGGGCATTAGTGCAATATTTTTTTCCTTGGCATGTGATGCCTGGGATCCAGGCTTCAATTTTATGCAATATTTTTCTGCGAGGAAGTTTTCCACATGCATTTTTACTTGTGCAGAGTAGTGCTCTGTGATGTGGTCTGTTTTGATCAAGCCATTCCTTTTTCTCCGAGACCAGCATTGTGAGTTGGCATCTTTAAGGCATCACGTTGAGGCAGAATTCTTTTGGTCTCAGGGAGAACGTGGCACCCAGAATTGAGCCCAGTGATTTTGTTCACTAAAATTCTGAAAATATTAGAGTTTCTATTTAAATTAAATGTAGCAGAATGCCATGACTCTGCTTGTGACATGCACAGTTGTGAAGAAATCAAAGGTTTATACTTGCTCATTCAACAGATTCCTGGGAAGTGGAAGATTCCAGTGGGTGGGAAGCATCCTTGATCTTGCTGTTATCTTTGTAAAGAACTACAGGCTGAAATGTTTTATTTATGAGTGGTGTGAAAGGAAAATAACCCCTCAAACAAACCTGTGGTAACTATTTAGTTAAGAGTGATGATAAAAAGCCAAGAAAATGTCCAAATGGCTTTGTGCTTTCTCTTTCTTTCCGTTAAGAATACACCTCTGCATTATTCCCCAGCTCTCTAAATGTTGTGTTGGTGAAGAACACAGCTTGTTGCTGGTAATGAATTTAAAGTTTTGTTCTTACACCTTGATTAAATACTTCTTTGTGTGTATTAGTAAACTTGGCATAGCAGCTTTGAACTCTTTGTATTTGCTGGAGAAGCAAGTGCTTAAAGGCAAGCAGGAAATAATCTTCAGGTATTAAAAGTTCACAGACATTTTTGCTCTGGAGGCTCAGATGGGCCTTTGTGAAGGGACGATAACATTTTGTTTATGTATGTTTAGTTCCTTTTCTTCATTATCCTTAACCAAGAAAGGGGAATTAATTTCACCCCTATTGGATTGTGGCAGGCATATACTTCTGGTGATGACTTTGGCAAATGTTGAAACAGGGAGGGCTGGAAAGATTTCATCCTTCTTCAAATACTCTGACATACCATGAAGAAATGTTGGTCAGGGTTGGATGGAACATAATACGCCATGTAATGCTGAATGTTACATATTTCAGGTTGGGTTTCTGTCTATCTGCCAGGATCGTGTTTTCTTCATTGTTGCATTAAAACCAAAGAGATTGGAAAACAGTCTTTCAATGGAAGCCAATGTTTGTGTTTATTTATATAAGAAAATAAAATGAACTTACATTTCTACTGCTTAACTTGCATCACTTTTGCTGTGACAGTTGTTTTCAGTTAAATAAGCCTGCCCGAAAACTAGTGAAGACAACAGAAAATCTGCTATTGGCTTTAGCCGGCTTCAGATCAGAGCTGTGGTGTTTAGGATTGGGTATAAGAAGTCAAGCACATTAAGCTTGCTGTGTTTTCGTGGGGTTTTTTTTTCCTTCTTTGTTTTATCTTGCCTATAAAATGTGCTTCTGGCATGGGAAGACTCTTACACACAAGACATTAAGTCAAATTATGTCCACAGATTCATGACAAAATAAATCTTAATTGGATTAATTCTGTGTTTGCTGTCAAGGTAATGTAATATATATTTTATATATATATATATATATATATATATATATAATGTATATATGTATAATATATGTATATATTATACATATATATAATATGTATATTTCTTCACACAGAAAAAATAAAGCCTATATTGTTCAGAATTAGCTAATTCTGAACAATATAGGCTTTATTTTTTCTGTATGAAGACTGCCTTTCCAGTATTGTCCCTCAAATACTGTCTACATTGAAAACTGTGTGCTTTTAAATGTTTCTGGGTGAATCTTTGTTTAATTTTCAGAAATGCTTTTGTTTTCCTCATTTCTAAAATGATCCAGGCTTTTACACAAATCAGAAGTTGTTGCACTATCTCAGCTGCAAGTCCATGTCCCAGAATTTCAATTTTAGTAAATTTTTCTCAAATGCGATAGATAGGTGTCCAGAGTAGTTACTAATGTTTTTATGATCAAATCTGTTAAAACTTGTTTCAGTCATCTTTTTCCATGTTAAATGTGTGACTTTGTATTAATTTTAGTGACTTTTGGAGCAGACCCATTAATGATATTTTTGTTTTGGTGTCAAGAAGGATCTACTCCTGAATGTAGCTGAGAGTGTTAACCTCCCATCTTCAGTTATGGGATATATTTAATATGCTGGAAAGCACATGCTGCTAGGCTGAGGTACTCCAGTCTGAACTTACTGTAAAAGATCACACACAGTTTGCTTAGGGAGATTTGGGTATCATTCCAGAGAAAGGGAAGTGCAGCCCTGCTCCTGGAAGCTCCACAGAATGTTTGCAGGAGTCTAGGAATGAGCTTCCTGTACCCTTCTATCCCTGGCAGGGTCAGGTAACGTCATGCACCAGAAGGAGCTTTATTACCATGGAAAACTTGCTGTGTGTTTTGGCTGAAGGAAAATGTCACATGCTGTCTCTGTCCCAGACTTCTTACTGAGCAAGCAAATCAGCAGTTGCTGCCTCAGGTTTCTTTTGCTGGAGTTATTTTAAATATCTCCAGCAATGTTAAAAAGTGAGTTTCTACTCTGCAATGAGCTCTGTGATGGTCTGAACTCAGGATGCAGAAGTATTGCATCTAGCTGTTTTATGCTACAGCAATAAAGATCATATTTTCACCTAATCAAAAAAGAAGCAGTGGAGAAACCAGTACTTTTCTCTACATGATTGTTTGATGAATGTAGATTTTTTGATTCAGAAATGTTTTAGGAAATTGTTTCCAGAAAGCAGCTTAGGTGTTATTTAGGGTTATTTGTGTAGGTTTTCATATGGGGAGCTTATATGTTAACCAGAGACACCATCTTTTCCTGAACTCTTCTGTTCCTGAATTCTTCTTCTGGTGCTTGATAATGGTGTCAGATTGTCCCGATTGGCTTTGAGGTGGAACCTCACCCTGTGTGGTGACAGTGAATGTCACGTGTTTCATCTTGCATTGAAGGCACTTGACTGAATTAGTTCAGTGACACCTTTTGTGTTGATTCTCAGGAAGATAGTTCCACAGTTTGATGTACATAATGTGGATATGTGTATGCATTTTAAGTGTTGGTTTTAAGTGCTAGGTTTAGGATACACTGCCATCAGTTCATTTAGGAACCTTCCTATCCATGTAACCAGGGAAGGACTGGTTCATGTCACCAGTCTAGTCCATGCACAGTGTGGTGTTTTTGCACTTTTTCTTGACTTTTCATGCTCACATCTGTATATTCAATGCAGCATTATTTCTTTATGAGGTGAACAAAGCAGTGGAAAATACAGAATGTTTTGAAGGGATTTATCGTATTCCTTTATCGATAGCTTCCTTATGTGTTAAAGCTCTGCTTCGTGTTTGGCATCTCTCTGTGGATTGGCAGAGACTCTGAAAGCATAACTGAGATGACTGTGTATCACTGAAGCAAATATAAATTATAGAATTTAAGAATCAAGCCAATAAAGAAAAATTGATGAAAAGTTAGTGTAATGTACAGTTTTTATAATAGGAAATGGATTGCTTGTCATTCCAACTCAAGATCTGATGGAAGCCTTTATAGGATCTACATGGTGGGCTCCTGTAACTTGTGCTTTGGTAGTTAAAGTACAAAGCCTCTGTAGAACTGGGTGATTATTACAATATCACAGAATAGTTTGGGTTGGAAAGCACCATAAAGACCATCCAGTTCCAGCCCCCCTGCCAGGGACAGGGATGCCACTCATTAGATCAGGTTGCTCAGGGCCCCATCCCATCTGGCCTTGAGCACTCTCAGGGTTGGGCCATCCGGGGCCTCTCTGGGAAACCATTAGTGCTTAGCATCAGATAATATTGTTTCCAGATGCATTTCAGTGTGTAGGTTTGACACTTTTCACTGTGGTTAATCCATGGGTTGGAAAGTAAGAGCTTTTAAAGTTTGAATGTTGGCACCTTTTCATGTGTCTTTTTTCCTTCAGAAGAATAGTAATGAGTTTTGAAAATCCTTATTTGTTTGCAGAACTACAGTAATTATTTTTTTGCTTAATCTGAGAACAACATGCTGTCACCAGCTATTATTGTAAAGAAATACAGTTTTTGTCTTTTTAATGATACCCTAAATGTTTAGGTAATTGAAGCAGTCATACTGAAGAAATATGATATTGCATTCTATTAGAAACAAATATAGCAAGAATGTGAGCAATTTATATACAAAGCCATGAAGACAATCCAGTTTTGATCTTACATAGCCAAATTCCCAAGCTCTTAGGAAATACCTGCCCTGGATACTTCTTGTTGACAGATGGAAAATAAAATCCATTCATTATATAAATAAATCAAATGGAATAATAGTGTGGCTGTATGACCTTTTTGCATGGCTCTGTGTTGTCTGGATCAGTGGAGATTCAAGTGGTCTATTATTTAAAATGAAACAAACAGAGTTTTTTTGGCAGTGACAGATGTATTTTTACAGCAGTATATCTTTCTGTTTTGAGAGGGAAGAATGATGTATTTAATATTAAGTTTTTATTTCTATTATCTTCCTTTTGTCAAAGTAAGCTGGAATTCTATCCAAATTGTAGAAATATGAATTATATGGATCTGTAATGGTAGAGGTCTAGATATGGAGATGGATGTATCTTGAGTGCACAATGCTTTTTTAAAGGTGTTTTTTCTTTCACTGAGTGGACAAAACCTGGACATAGTTGGTTTTGCAATTTATATTTTGCTTGGGGATCTTTTTGAATGTTTCAGGTTCGTGGGAGCAAAGGTGAGGTCCTTTATATCCTGGATGCCAGCAACCCACGCCATTCGAACTGGCTGCGCTTTGTCCATGAGGCTCCATCCCAGGAACAGAAGAACCTGGCAGCCATCCAGGTAGATTTGGTGGATTCCTACCATTTGCTTCCTGTTACTGATTTATTAATTTGATTTCCTTTTTGGCCTTCCTGTCTTGTAATAAAATTGCAAGATCTGAAGAAAGAAGCGAACTGCTTTTCTTTTTCTGCCTTTGTTTTTAGAAGAGAACTCTTCTGCTTAAGGTAATACCACAAATAATAAGAATGGTAGGTTGAAAGACTAGAAAAGTCCTTGGAGTCTGATGCTATTTGAAAGGTTTAAGGACTAATTATTTAGAGACTTGTGTGTGTTTCATGCCAAACTTGGGTATGGACTTACTTGTATGTAAAGCATGCATTTACATTATTGTTCAATAAAATTAGTAATATCATATAATATAGATAACATATAATTAATTATGAAAGTATGACAAGGATGAAAAGAGACATGGTGCTGAAAATATTTAAGTAGAAAACAGAAAATTGAACTATCTAATTATCTGATAGGATGATCATATAGTGCCTGAGGATAAATTAATAAAAAAAGATAATTTTCTTGCCTTTGCTGTTGATCTGAATTTATTCAGCTTAATTTTTTCATTTTTATAGTTGTCATTTGCAGCACTCTGCAGTAATGAGTTCCACTGCTTTAATTATGTTGAAATATGCTTCTGTTTTTCTTCTAGACACTCCTTAATTTCACTTGATTTCCTAGTTCTAGTATAACAGTGAATAGTTACTTTATTTTTCTATGCCATCTTTGATTTTATGGAATTCCGTTATATCCTTTCACTCTTATTTGACAGCTCTTCTCTCAAGCTGAAGAGTCTTATTCTGTTTAATTGCTCAGTTTTGGAAACATTCTGTCACTTTACAGGATACAACAGAGACAGGAATACTTTTCAAGTTCCAGCTGTTACTCTTTTGGAGGTTATTAAAGAAATTAGCTATCTGCTTTTTTGCTTTTTTTTTTTTTTTTTTTTAACAGCTCAGTTTCACAGTAAATTAATTTCCACTCCCACATAAATAAGAATTACATGACTCTGTGAAATTTTTTTTCTCAAAATGTATACTTTACAAAATGTTGTTTCAGGCTAACTTAAGGTATTTGCTGATGTAATCCAAACTGGAAAACAATTAGGAAGAGGAGAATAATTTATCAGCATTTCTTAAAATGACTGTTCTGTTTTTTCCTCATGAGATGACTTTCTTCCCCAAGGATTAGTCTGTGTGTCCCTGACAAAAGAATTATAGTTTATTTTGAGACTAGAAGAAAAAAAAATTGGTTTTTCTGTGCCAGGAGAACAAAAGTTTATTTCTAATGAAATTTGTTGTCCTCCTTATGGTAGTAGATGTGAACAGCTCTCATACAGGAGGCTTGATTAGCACCTCATCAGTGCACAGTCATTGTTAGCAAAGGCAAAGTAAGGCTCACAAGAGAGAGCAGTGGGAACAATTAATGTTCATTATCTTTCCAGTAAATGACCTGAACTTTTGAATAGAAGTTTTAATGAAATATCCAGTGCATACCAGTGGGTTTCTTTATAAGGAAAATGATGGAAACAAATAAAAATTTGCTAAATTATCTCAAAGGGTTTTTTAGGACCTTAGAACGTATTCTAACACGCGGTATTCAGATGGCAAAATATTCTAGCCTTCATTGGGAGCTATTACTGAAAACTGGAGTATGGAGAAATGCCAGAATTGCTGTAGTAGTTTAACCTTGTGTTCTGTTTAGTCTCACATTTGTGTCTCAGAGGTTTGCTGCCTTGCCATGCAATGTAGCACCATAGGAATAGATCAGGAGAGAGAGCTGAGGCTTCTGGATCTTGTGTGTGTGTGTGTGGTTCAGGTACGGTATGTTAGATGAGGTAGAATCTGAATTCTGGGCTGTGTGTGGGGGTGTGTGAAATCATCTCCATGCGTTTCCTGGATTGCAGTTTCTGCCCTCAGACATTGCCTGTGTTGGTTTTACCTCTGCCAAGCTTGACATCCTGGAGCTGCAGGGAAAGACTGGGAAAGGCAGTGTGCTTGTTTAGAGAGGTAGCCAGGGAGAACTGGCAGAACAGGTAGGCTGAAGAGATGGTTTTCTGCCGCGGAATCAGATACAGAGGGTAATCGGGTAACATTGGGGGCACAAAGTGGGTAAGGGTTAGGAAGGCTGGGTTGGAGCCGGCTGTTCAGGCTTTCAAGGGTGGAAAAAGCTCTACACTACCTCAGGTAACACAAGCCTGTGCTGCTTCCTCCTCCTGTGTTTTAAACTTTCAGGAGTGATGACAGTAGTGTTTTATGCTTTTGCATGAAAGTGTGATGGGCTGTCAGTGGTCCTGTGTTCCCTCTTACAAAGCAGATATGAAGGTGTGTAACTGTATGGAAAAGTCAAGAATCTTCATGGAAGAGGTACCTGTAGTGGACCAAAAAGGAGATAGCAAGGGCTGTTGGAACTGAAAAACTGTATTTGCTGAGCATGTCTGTGTGGCCTGTAGTGTAAAGGGTGACAGTGAAGGCAGAGGTGAGAAAAACATAATTGAATAATAAACCTGGAATAACATGAAGGGAGGTCGTGGTGCCACCATGATGAACTTGCACTTGGAATCTTCTCCCAAGGACTGTTGTGGTCTCCTGCAGATGAGTGTTAGGAAAACAGCCAGCATGGTCTAAGCACATGGGCAGATGGAATGGCTGCAGATGTGTTCTTAGAAACAGAGGGGTTATTAAAATAATTTAAAAGACTGTTTACTCTGTCTGCATGCATGTAGATTAATGTGATTCATACAGGTGCTACTGGTGGGGGGAGAGATGTAAATTGTTTTGTGGTTTCTGGAGAGCTTCCATTGCTTTCCCTCAAAATGCTGCCTTGAGGAGCTACTACAGCTAGTGGGTATATCTTGATTAATGAGTGCTCTGAATACCTGGCTATTAGCATTTGTGTGGATGGAAAAGCCAAACAAATTAACCTTGGAGGAGAAATGAGTTTACATTGGGCTGGCACCAAAGCTAATTTCTTTCTAATGCAAATGTGACCCAGAGCGCTCAAACATTGACAGCTCCTAGTACTTGGGGCTTTATTTTTGCCTGAGATACATGACTTTATCTTTTTTTCTTTTTATTTCCAAATTTTCAAAATTTTTAATTTTTCAAATCTTTCAATTATTATTTTTGGTAATCTAGTAATAGAGATATGCCTCCCTTCGTGAGGTTATCTTGCTTTTAGAATAAGGTTGTCCAAAACAGTGATGTATTAGAGATTTCCCCTAGTGGTTTTATCACGTCTGTGTGGAGACTGAGTGTAGAAAGACCTTCTACTTTTCCTCATGTCAAGAGGATTTGTTTTGACTTTAGACTGTACTAAATTAAAGGTTTCTGCAACTTGACAGAGACATATGAAACCCAGTAACTTGTAGATGTGACAGAGGTTAGGTTGGTGTGCTGATAGATATCTGGACTGCAGAATAGATCTTGAGAAAAAAAATTAATTTTTTGTTTTCCAATGCTGCTATTGAGATAAGGACAGAAAAGTGGTGCATCCTTGAAAGTAGCAACTCTATCAAGTCTACTGAATTAAGTAGGTTTCACTCCTGTGTGACAGTATCTTGTGTAAAATATAACAGACCTCCTGCAGCTCACGGAATGCTGCATCCCTGTTGACAGTTTAAATTAATCTTAGTGTATTACAGAAATTAAAAATCATTATCTTGTCCTTGCTCAAGGAAGCTTATTGCAAAATGTATCACTAGATGCAGGGCAAAGAAGCTTCAGTTAACTTTTCTGGGTGTTACTCAGATAAGCTTTAAGATTTATGATATAACTGGGAGTCTTCATTGCATAGAAATGAGTCTCCTTCAGTGCTTTGGGCAGTACCTAAAGCAGTTGGTTCATATATAGAAAGAAAAAAGGTATCTCTGTCTTACAGAATATCAGTTTAGGAGACGGATATACAGATTGCTCCCCACACCCCATAGTGCTGGCCTTGGTGACTTTATTAAGTATTGTCAAGGCCCAAAGTTTTTAGCTGATTTAGCTATTTGGAAGCTTGTCCAGGCATTATCAAGAAGCTTTTGGAACTCATCGTGATGTAGTTTGTGCTGTCGTGCAGAATCGGTGCTGGATCTTTTGGCCTTTTGTGGATCTACACTCATTTAAATCACAGAGTTTAAATCCCTGATTTAAGCACAGGGTTTAAAGTGCATTTTCGAGATGTGCCTGCCAATTTGATAGTAAAGATAACTACTAGGGGTGAAAGCTTGTTGGAGAAGACTGGGTATCTTAAGGAGAGGGAGAAAGAGAGAAAGAGAAAATTATGCTGTGTAAACATTTTGCTGGAAGCTGTGTTAGAATTCCTGCAGTCAGCTGGGGAGAGAGATAAAGCTGTGTTGGTTATCTAAATTTTGCAGTTTTTCTAATCCTCAAATATTTCCTTTTCAAACCCTGATGTTCTTGTCAAGTAGACTGTGGCAGGAGAGGATTCAATGCCATCTCCACCTTGGTGTAAGCTGCAGGGAATGTGGAAAAGCCTCACAGGTGAGGCAGGGGAATATTCCCAAAATAGCAGAATACAAATGCACCCTATCCATGCAGCCACACTGGGAAAGAAGTCTTTGGTAAGGCTGTTGTAGCATTGTGCTTCCTGAGGAATGGAGCCAACCCTTCTATGGCTGAGGGATAATATTAGTTTTGGGTCTCATACTTGTCTAGATTTTTGTCTTTCTGAGGTAATTATTTATTGCTTCTACTTCCTGTTTGCAACAGGAGGGGGAAAATATTTTCTATCTGGCTGTGGAAGATATTGAAACAGACACAGAACTTCTGATTGGGTACTTGGACAGTGACATGGAAGAAGAGGAGGAGGAGGAGGAAGAAGTAACTGTTACCCAGGAAGATGAAGACAGTGGCAGCAATAAAGAAGTGCAGCCATCTGGTGAAAAAATTGCTGGTGAGCAATATGTAAAATATAGGGTAACTTGAGAGCTTAAAAGTGGCAATGAAGAAAGAAAACACTAACAGTATAGGACTGGGGAACTGGAAGGTCCCAGGGTTTGAATCTGAGTTCTTGCATTATTTTTATCTCTTTTTTGGGGTTTCAGTTGAGTTACTTTGCCTTATAAGGAGCAGCAAGTCTTGTGAATTACTGAGTGAATGAGTGAGCCTGGGTTTCTTAAGTAGTAACCATTAATTTTTGAATTAAAGACAGAATTTGTTTCACCTGAAACACAAGCTTATGAACGCTGAGCTTTTGCTCTAAGAGGGGTAATGTCTTTCTTAGGTGGGAGAGAAATAAACTTTCCCATAAAGCTATTCAGCCAATCCTAAGGTAAGATGTGTAGGAGAAGGAAGGTGAGCTGAGCTGTGTGGGGAATTCTCAGCATCTCTATCGAAGGTAAAGATGAATTTATGAATGACTAATTGCATTGAGGTTCTAATTGAGTTCAATGACTAATTTGGGCGAACAGTCTAAGTCACACCCATCTTAATACTTTTCATCCATTTTCAGTAATGCTGGTAGTAATCCACTTAAGATAGGCTGCCTGTAATCCCTTCAGAGGCATTGTTTTTTGTGAGTTTCATGCCACCATTTTGCATAATCTGTTTCTGGCAGAGTGTCTTCCTTAATATAACCAAAAGCTACTCCTTGACACTGGTTTTGCTTCCAATCATGCAGATCCCCTCACCTGTAAACAGGACCATGCATGCCCAAACTGTGAATCCAGTTTTGCCAGCCAGGAGATCCTAGCTGAGCATCTGCAGACTTTGCACCAAAAACCCAGTGAGGAAAAGGAATTTAAGTGCCGAAATTGTGGAAAGAAATTCCCTGTTAAACAAGCTCTACAAAGACAGTGAGTAGAAACAGGAGTGTTTTTCAGGGATCATTTAAATCAATTTCATTCAATCCTTTTTTTCTCCTGACCTAATCACAAGCTAAGCTTTAATTTTTATTCATCTGTATTTATACCCTTACTCTCTGCTTTAATCTTTTAATGTCTTAATTTCTCATATTTGTTGTAGAATTCAATGGGATTTGGGAAAATATTGACAATTTTTTATGTGTTAAAGTCGTACACTGGAGACCAGACCAGAGCAGAAGTTTGGTGCAGCATTACTGGTCTCCATCAGTGGAATATGTAGTAGTTTAGGAGGTGTAATTTTCAAGCTGTGAATGCTGGTACAGAAGTAAAATAAGATTCCAGGGAAAAAAAAGGAAAACCAGTGCTTTATGTTTGTTTAATTAAATATTTGGGTGGTGGAAAAACAAAATAGAAACATGAACAATGTGAGATTTAAGAACATGGCTTTATTGTCCTTGAGAGTATAAATACGCAGTTTTGATACTAAAAGTCATATATCTTAGAATTATGTTTCTGCACAGAAACATAACTGTTTTTCTTTTGTTGTTTATATATCTATTTTCTTACAATTAGATATATTGCTTTTTATTATACATTAATTACAGATTTTTAACCTACTTTTTGCAAAGCTATATATAGTTTATAGCTACTGCAAGCCTGTGTGAGTTGAAGAATGTTACCCTTACTTTGTTTTTTTTCCTTTTTTTGTCTCTTAGTGTCCTTCAGTGCACAGAGAATATCATCCCAGGAGACTCCTCAAGAAGTTTCCAGTGCTCTCTTTGCAATACTGCCTTCAGCTCAGAATCGAGGTTTTGTGTCCGAGTTACAGGACTGCTGTCATGTCCTTGCTGGCCTTCCTTTGCATGTTAGCTTTCCAAAAGCTTGGTAGTGTTTGGGAATCCTAACAGGGCAAGGACTCAAATGCTTTCATTCCTCTCTGCTGTAAGTAATGCATGAGGTGGCCTTGGAGCTCTGCAGTGCAGCATGTGTTCAGCTCTGAGTACTTGCTACAGCTCTGGTTTCTGGAGACACTGTCTGATGTGTTTTTTTTCCCTCTCTTTGTTATCCCACGTAGTTATGAGCAGCACAAGGAGGCGTGCAGAGGGGATGCCAGGTTTATATGCAAGGCAGATAGCTGTGGGAAGAGGTTCAAGAGCAAGGATGCCCTGAAAAAACACAAAGAAAATGTTCACAGTGGTAAGAAAGAGTTTAATGTTCCTTCAGAAAAAATCCCCTCTGACATGTTCCTGGGCTTAAATTTCCAAATCAGAGTAAACATTGTCTTTGATTTCTTTGTTAATGGGTTCATTTGTATCAAATAGAAAATTAAGAAGTAGCTTAATTGCAAGAGTTATTATTCCTCCTCCCCCCCAGGAGAAATTACTGTAGGCCACATGAATCATTAGTCTCTTGCAGAAAATGTAATAGGAATCTTGAGAAGTTTAAACTAGGCAAAGAGTAGATGAAGCAAAATGTTTCAGAAGTGAGGAAAATCAACCACTGGCACAAACTGCTACAAGAAATGGCAAGTTCTTGATTTTTTGGTATTTTCAGGACACAATGGGATATCTTTTCTTTGCCTAATCAAACAATTAAGCTTGATGAGGGTTGCATAAAATCCTGTAGCATCTGTTGTGCCGGAAGCCAGACCAAACCATCGGTCTGTCCTCTTAAGCCCTAATGTTTTCATATCTGTGTGCTGTGAGTAGTTTTCACTCAAACTTTGCTCTCAGATCCACAACACAGATCTCAATTCTGGCATTCTACACTCTTTCTGTGTGTCCCCTCTCAGTGTCAAAGGAATATCATTGTGTGGGGGCAGCAGAATTCCAGAATGCGCAGAAAACAGTCTTCAGTTGATGGTGACAGCACTGAGATACTTTTAAAGATTTTCAATCTCTTTCTGCTGCCAAACTCTTGCAGTGTAGAGAAATTACTTTTCTGTAATATTTCTTATAAAAATTATCTCATTTTTTTGGTATCAGTAATAATTTTTTTCATCTATGAGCACTGTTATGTTTAGGCTTAGTTTTTGTTAGTTATGTAGTGGTATATGAATTCCACATTGAAGGACTAAGTGTATTCCTGTATTATATGTCTATATGTCTATTTCTATCTAATATAAATACTTGTCATAAATTTTGTACATTTTTAATTTTATAATGTTTCTGCTGTTCAGAGTAGCATGGATGTGTTTTACCTAAGCTAGGAACTACCTTACATGGGCATCTTAAATTATAAACAAAGAATTAGGTTTATGGTGGCTTTATGGTGTACTAAAAAGAGTCTCTAAAGGTAAGTAATAGATAAACTCAGAGAAGTGGTCTGTGACTTTTTAAAGCAGCAGTGGAAAGTGAAGGAAAATGTCTGGTAGCTGACCTATAGCTTGCTTTGTAATTTGCATTTTAGACAAGATTTCAATTCATGATCTGGTGCTAATATGATTTTCCTGTTTCATTCAGTTAAACACCATTAATGATATTTTATATAGTAGGATGTTTAATGCTTTCCAAATAAACAAAAATGGGAAATAGTTTTCACTTAAGTTTGAGATTTTTTTGTCACTGCTGCACTAACTCCTGTATTGATTTCTGGATTAAATGAACTGTTCAGTTGCCAAGTGAACTGTTCTCAGTTTTGAACTGTGCTCTTCATGTGGGATTGGTGGTGTATGATAACATCTATTTGAAAGGTTTTTTTTTCTTTATTGTTCTGGTTTTCTTAATTTACATTCCACCACTGTCTGGTTGGTTGGACACCCACAGCGAGCTCCTGATTTGGAGCACTTTGAAGATGGGGTACAAATGTAAAAATCTTATGTCAGTCAAATGACCTGTGAAATGTCACAGGCTCAGTGGAAATATTTAGGTTCTTTCTTAGCACTTCCTCTTTGAGATGTTGGTGGTATTTTGTTTCTGTTTCAGGAAATTCTAGGAAGAAGCTGATGTGTTCAGTGTGCAATAAGAAATGTTCCTCAGCAGCAAATCTCCAGGAGCATCGAAAGGTCAGTGAGATGAAGGCTGACTCACAGCAGGCACTGGCTTCCCTGAGATGTGAGGCTGTGCTGCTCACGTCACTTGAAAGCTGCTGTAATGCCAGTCTTTGGGTGATCTCTTTCATGGTTACAAAGCTAACCTGTTTTAGTGTGGGTATTTACTTCTGTAGTCATGCTTGCTCGAGCCAAATATCTCCCTAAAGTTTTCACATAATCCTTTCCAAATGCAAATGTGTTTTTGCACTCCAGCATTAAGTCAGAGTTGCCTGCTGTTCTTCAGCATTCTTAAACACTGTGTTATGTAATTGTAGCATACACACAGACCATAAAATAGGTTCACGAGCATTCAGGTTTTGTACAAAACACAGTAATTTTCTTACTGCTTTTTGAAATACCACTATGGGGAGTTACTTCTATTGTAGTTATGCAGTAGTAAAAAAAATTCTTCCTAAAACCCAAATTTTAATGTCCTTTTTTTAATGCACATAATCTTTTATATCCAGAATAGGAGGGGTTAACAGTTGGAAAAGCATCTATTGGAAATAAGGGTGTTCAATAGAAATACAGATGGACCACAATTATGAGATTCTAAATTCATTAGACCCAAAGGAAGTCCCTGCAAGATTAATTTGATAAATCACTAAAACCCGGGAGAATCTGTTTTTGCAAAAAGCTGCATTGTACTGTTTATCAGATTAACTGTAAGTCTTTAATAATACCCTGGTTATAACCTGAATCCATTGAGGATATAAATGATATAAATTAAAATATGTTGTTGCAAAAAAAATTGTGGGGCCCCTCCCTGCTTTTTAATTTGTTTTTCTCCTTGTTTGTGTTAGTATGCCCTGCACTTCTTGTCTAACAGGGCTTTATTTTATTATCATGGTGTTCCTTGCCACATGTTGTTACAAGTTTTACACATTGGCACAGGTCTTGCACATCATGACTTTAAAATGCAAAATGTTCTGGTTAGTGTGTCCATTTTATTAAATGATTATTCTGTTTCAGTAGTTGTAATTCTGGGCAGACATTGTGACAAACAATTTTCTCAAATATGATTTATCATGTCAGTTGAGCACTTACCTTAAGAATCACCATGAAGTCTTTGTGCATAAAACTTTCTTTGCTCTTCCTGATTGGCTTTTATTTTAAAACATCCAGAAAATGGGTATTCCAGACTTACACACTTATATCAGATAGTGAAGGAGATTGCACATAGTAGTACTCATGCTGTTTGTTTGCTTGAATTAATTTCCTTTTGTAGGAAGCGGGGCAGGATCATCAGCATTGGCAAAAACATTTATACAGGCAATAAAACCAGTATGAAAATAATAGGTAAAACCAGGAGAAAAAGGCAGATTTTTCCCCCCACCCATTTCAATGTAAAGAAATAAAAGTGGAGAATAAAAAGGTAAAATATAACAGAAAACAAGCCCAAACAACAGAAAAAGTTGGACAAATACAGAGAAAGGAGGTAAAGAGGGTGGCTGTAGGGGGCTGATAGATGTTTACTTTCTGAAGACATGGTCAATCATATCTGTAGCTTTCATGTCACATTTAAACTCATTTTTAGCTTCATATGTCTTGTGCACTGCTTGTGCCTTAACTGTATTCTGATACTGAGTTCTGAAGTTCAAGTAAAATGCAAAGTTCAATTAATCAACAGTGATAATAATGAGGAGAAAAGTGAGGGGACTGTTCATCTTCCTTGATGCAGACTCCTGCTAAATGATTCCTTTCAATATAAGGATCTCATGTTTTGGATTTGAATTGTTCACAGGAGCTCAAATTTCAAAGTGAGCAGGTACGTGTGAGTAGCACAGGCTGCCAGGCCTCTTCACTGATGCTCCACTGTTTTGTAATGGAAAGGGAAGAAACTTTCCAACAAATTCCAGGGTTTTTTGCTGCTTTCTTTTCCCGGTGGTCAGAGCTGATAGTGCTGCACTTCCAGTGTTGGTCGGTGGGCTGGGGAAGTCTCTCTCCTCCTGGCTGTATAGCTGTGGAATGAGCTTCTGACTCTTACTGTAAGCACATGTTTCCATGGTAAAGCAGCTCATTCTTCTTTTAAGAAAGAAGATTAAGGATCCCTTAAAATGTAGGACAGTTGGGCCTTTTTGGCTTTGGAAATGCAGGTTTTGTGTGTTACTGGTAGGACTGGTTTGTGCTGGTGCCTTTCTGGATTTCTCAGCAGATTTCTTACATGGACCTGTACAGTTCCTTTCAGCTGTAGTGATATCTGCCAAGGGACCAAATCAAGGTAGATCCTGTAGGTACAAAGTTTGTGGTGATTGGAAATGGGGCTGGAGCCCAGCCTCATCCCTAATGGACTACAGCTGTGCATGACAGGTGACCAGTATTGAAGATAAAGAGCCACGGAGTGCCCAGGTGCACTGACCAGTCACCAAAGGGAACAGAGGGCACACAGGTACAATGCATCAACATCAGGGTATAAAAAGATTGGGCTGAAGACCAGTAAAGTGCTGATTGTTGAAGCTTTCTTTAGTGTCAGTTGTACCTCCACCATCAAGATTCTCCTTTGGTCAGAGTTTGAGAGTGTGTACAAAGAGCGCTTGAGTCCTTCTGAACTTTTTAAACTTTATAGAGCTGGACTTCCTGCAAAATTGGCGTGAGTAGAATCACACTTAAAAATCTTCTTAGCTTCTCAACCCGTGACCCTCTTTTTTTTACCTGTCAGTTCGAAGCATCTCTTTTGGGTTAATTTCTGGCCTTTTTAATACTGAACAGCGTTTTATTCTACTGGGCAATCATTAGTTTTTATTTACCATAAGTTGCTCTCAGCTGCCTCCTGTTTTTCCAGCATTTAGCTCTAAATGCTGTAATGTTGAATAAGCTATATTTGTAGTTTGAGACAATGCTGCCCCTCCACTGTCTGGCCTCTAAAAGCTTTTAAGAGAAACAATCCTGCAAGAGTGTGATAGTACTTGTTTTTTAAAATTCTGACAGAAGCTATGAAGTGGTTTCTGTGTTATTTTTACATGTGTCTTGACTAGAAGAAAATGTCCTGACAAGTTACTCTGCATTTGGTTTTTTAATGCTTTCCTAATAATGATATTTTAAATGGATCTGGTAGATAGAAACACAGGCTATACAAACTTGCTGTACAGTTGTATTGATGGTTTTTTGTTGGCAGTTAGGAGTTTTTACTTTTTGGGAGATGATGTTTTTCAGCAAGGGACAAGCAAGGGTAAAATCACAGAATATTCTGGAGTATTAATATAGCTACTGGCTAATCAGTAGCTACATTCTGTTAGAGAATTTTTGTCTGTATAAGAGATACTGTCTTGTTTTAGACACACATTTAATTATCATAAAATATTTTGCAGGTCCATGAGATCTTTGAATGTCGAGAATGTGACAAGAAATTCATTTCGGCTAATCAGCTGAAGCGCCATATGATAACTCATTCAGGTAATGTACAGAAATGACACAGATCTCTCTGTGTGTGCATATGTATTTCATGTATGTGGAGTTTTACCTGGATTAGTTTCTTATGGAAGGCTTAATGAAACCAGTGTTGTACTGAGTTGCGCAAGCCAGTCTCAGGTTCCAAGGAAATTGTCTAAGGCAGCCTTCCAAGCCTTCCAAAATTCCAAGTGAAATGGTGTAGTCTTCTTCCTACTGCTGCTTTGTCAAACTGTTTTGTCGTGCTAGCTGGGCTAGATGAGGTCAGTGAGCTGGGGTGGGCCAAAAGGTTGTTCTATGGCTTAGAGAGGAGGTGAAAAACCAGTGCCTGAGGCTTTATGCTGAGAAGAGGCTGTGAGCAGGGTGTGCTGTCAGTGATCTGTGCTACACGCTGCGTTTTACTATTTATCTGTGTTTGTGTTAGTGGGCTCGTAGCTTCTGGTCAGAGGAGAGCAGCTCATGGGCCATGCCATCCACAAGAGCACCACTTTGTGCCAGCACAAGTCCACTGTGAGCATGGTGTCCCATCCTTGGGTTTGGCAGTGTGGCACCAGGTGGCTCTGCCAGGATTTCTGGTCACTGCAAATCCAGCATTTTCTGTGTCCCTCACCAGTGATTAGAAACATCAAGCAACACAATGGAAACACAAACGTTGTTCTGTCAAATTCATTAGCATTTAAACAAATACAGATTTTTACAGCTGCAGAGGCTTAGAGTTGAACTGTTTTCTTGGTATCAGTCCACAGCAAAAGCTCATTTCTTGTAACATAATCTGTATCTCAGAGGCTCCTGGCTTTCTTTTGACACTTTTGGATGAGCATTAGTGCAGTTAAGTTGCAATCACCAGTTGAAGCATAAAGGCTTTTTGCATAGGAACTTTTGGGTTTGGAAGCTAATATGTATATTGTTAATTAAGTTTTAAAATATTTAAACTGTCATGGCCTCTTTCACATTTGTAATCTGAAAACACGGTTTTCCTCTTTGAAGTCATTCTTTTTTGATTTAAGCTAATTAATCAGAGTTTAGTTTTAGCAATGAGTATTGCAAAGAATGTGCCAATTTCTTGAGATACACCATGGCTCATCTTTTATGAAGTGACTTAACTGTCTAACATAAAGGGCATTAGGTGTCTTTCTAATTGGTTTAATCTTAATTGGGTTGACTTAATTGCAGAAATCTCTCTGAGGAGATGACTGTCTCTGCCTTTCATCTTCTCCCCCTGTATAAACAGGAGATTAAATGTCCCCCACTCATTTTCTGCAGAAAAACGCCCCTACACCTGCGAGGTTTGCAATAAGTCCTTCAAACGACTTGATCAAGTGACTGCACACAAAATAATACACAGTGAAGATAAACCTTATAAATGCAAGCTTTGTGGAAAGGGATTTGCCCACAGAAATGTTTACAAGAATCACAAGAAGGTAAAGCACTCTGCTGTTGTTGTTTACAGGTCTGCCAGCCTCAGATTTGCAGATTTTTTTAAAGTGGTTCATTGTTAACCTCTGCCGTGCTTATAAACATGGGATTAAAGTATTGGAGAATGTAGTTTTAGTGTTCTTTGTTATATCCAAAATTTCAGAAGGCTGAGCCAATTTTAGTAAACAAAAAGGTTAAAATAAGAAGTAAAGCACAGTTTCTTGGTTAAAAGCATCAAATAAATCCCCTTTTGACTTTTTTGTTTTGTTTTTATTTTTTTGCTTTGTTTTGGTTGTGTTTTTCTGGTTTTTTAAAGTATTAGGTTACCAAGTTAATGTCACTGATTTAAAGATATCTTCAAATACTTTTTTTTTTGATAGTGTAATTGTATAAAACTATGTGTAGTCCTCCTGCAGTCATTGTAGGACTTAGCAGCAGATGCTTTCAAACTACTCTAAATTTGAACTTGGTGCAGTGTTCACATATTAAAACAACATCAGAGGAAACATTTACCTGAAAAATAGACTCACAAAAGGATGTTCTGCCTGTGTTGAAGCTCAAATATGTTTGGCCTAATTTCTGTAATGCCTGTCATTAGTTTTAACCTGGGCTTACATTTCTAATGGCAAGGCTCTATCCAGGACTGCTGTTTTGGAATTACGAGACTGTAAAAAAAAACCCAAAAAAACCCAAAACCAAACAAACAAAAAAACCCCCAAACAATAACAAAACAAACAAACAAAAAAACCCCACCAAAAAAAACCCCCACAAAACAACAAAAAAAACCAACCAAAAAAAACCTAACCCTGATATAGCCATACCTCCAAGTCTTTTGCAGTATGGCTCGTGTTATATTCCATCTGGGAATTTGGCACAGGATCTTTGCACCATCTCTTGCACTTGAAGCCATAAATCATGTAAGAGCAATAATAATGCCTCTCACTGGATGAAGCGGTGATGACTGTCTAAAACAAGAAAGCATGCAGCAGCCTGCTGAAGGACAAGATTATCTCCCATACATTATGTTTTGTGGTCTAGACTTTAAGAAAATTGGACAGAACTTTGCAGATTGGATATATTCTAAGAAAAATGTATAAAATGTTATCTAGAAAGATAACTCCATTTTTTAAATGAATACTTTTTACATGTTTACTGATGTTAGCTAGCCATTGATGACTGGTAGGGAGTTTGAGTTGAAAATGGACTTCGGGATTAAGTATGAAGGAGTAAGCACTTTGACCCAATTCTGTGTTTAAAGCAGCAGTACCACCAGCATAAACAAGGATTAGAAGTTCCACTTAATGGGAAAAATATTAAAATTTAGACAGCTTTAGTGGGTACCAAATTTTGATGGAATTCCTTAAAGCATGTTAGAATGCTGGTTTCCTGGACCTGTTTGCACCTAATACTGGCTGTAAATCAGCTGTGCTCTATATTGAGAGAAGCTTGTTCCTGTGTTTGCATAAAGATTACCCAAACAGCTGTGACTATTCACCCATCCACATGTAGGTCTCTAAATTCACTTACTGAGTGAGGAGGCGAACAGGAGAGACAGGAGACTGACATGGATGGTCTGAGTTGCTTTTTTAGACACATCTCTCTCCACTGAGGAAACAACAGGAGGAAAGGGAGCAGGCAGCACTGTGGAGTCTGGATGTGTGTGCACATGTTGTACCATACAACTCAAGGATGTGGTGGTTTGGGAGGCCAAAATAGTTTTGAGTGCCACAATTTTGGGAAGGCTATGCCTAGAGAAAGAGGACAGCAGTTCTCTTGCTTGTTCACAGGAGTGCTGATCCTACAGGAATAGTGTAAATGTAAAACTTAATTGTGTATTATGCTTCTGTGTATTTCTTCAGCTTATGATGTTTTTTAGATGTGTGTTTCCTGTGAGGTGTCTTCCCAGGTTTATTTTCTTTTGGAGGAAGAGTTGAACTGTAAATAATTTCAGGGTACTTTTCTGAGTTCCAGGATTAGGTTATTGGGCTAGTAGCGGGAAGCATAGATACCTGCAGTAGGAATGATGGGCATAGGAGTGAAAACCAGTTAAATCAACAGCATTTAAAAGAAAACATAAGTTTAAGTTTAATAGCAACATGCTTAAAAAACCTTTGGATTTTTCAGCAGGCTTACATTCGTTTTATATGTAAGACAGTACAGATACATTTTCTGCCTTTGAATTCTTGACTTGTGTTTTAGATGGAAACGTTTTGCTTTTGTTTCTGTAATTCCTGTGTGGGTTTTTTTTTTTAACCTGATTTGATGTTGGAAGTCTCAGAATAAAAATTACTCGTAAAACATGTGTTTTTAAACATCTTTCAGATGTGGGTGTCTGTTGGGTCATTTCAAAAGTGCAGAAGGAGATTAGTTCCTCAGATTTCACAGGATTTCGTTGGGAGATATAGTGGAGTTGCCAAGATGTTGTCTGCTCTGTTCAGTGCAGCACTGGGATGTGAACCTTAACTTAGCACTTGTTATGCACTTAGAGCTGCACATCTGAGGCAGGAACTGTGGTACCTCTGTAATTTGCTGCTCCTGCAAACAGGTGCTGCACTGCTCTGCATCGGTGCATGTGCAAGCTGGCTTTGCCACTTGCTTGGAGATGTCAAGGCTGGGAAGTATTCTGGGATATGGAACCTCTGTGAGAGCTCAGGCTGTGACTTGAATGATCTTAAATGGTGTGACTTAAATACAGTTCCATTTCTCTGACAAGGCAAGAGAGCAGTAGCTGAAATGAGGAAGCAAAAAGGGATTGTGCTACAGACAGAAGTAGTCACCTTTCAGGCAGGTGAAACCCTCTTCAGACTGGAAGAGGGTTCATGTTCTGAGCCATGTAATGCAGATTACCTCCATGCAGGAGATGTTTTTGCTCCATCTGCTCCTTTGTTGCTGTGTACAAGAGGATGAGTTCAGAGAACAAAATGTGAAGACATGATGGTCGGCAGAAATAGGTCATCAGACACAGGATTTTAAAGGGTTTATGGCTAATCCAGGGTTGTTTGGTCCTGGGGAGTGTAACGATTTGAAACAACTGTATTCCATCAGTTTATCTGTTGGGAATAAGTAGCCTTGGGCTGGGCTTAAGCCTCCACAGATGCTGTGGTAGGAAAGGCTGCCTTGAAATGCTGCATAAGAGCCCATCCTCAACTGCTGGGATGATAGGTATATCCTTGCATGTGGGTATGCCTAGTTAGATGATTTTCTTTGTAGGGAAGTTAAGACATGCAGATTCATCTGTGTATTTTGATCAAAAGGTGAGGAGAATATAAAGGAGATGCTAAGGAGGAGTTCTGTACAAATCACTTTGCTCTTCAGAACTGTCACTCACATGGTGATTGTTCCAAACCAGGACATTTTTTTAAAAAGCAGCATGACTTTTGCGCTCGTGAAAGGTGCCAGATTGACAGCTCTGGAGACTGAACCCTTCTATTTATCCACAGAACAGGTACAGCACAGGCAGCAGCACTGCGAGCTTCCCCACAGTGTCTCGTCCATGTGTCCCAAGCCTGTTCTGGAGGAACCCCCTGTTGAGGTGAGAAGGCAGTTCAGTCTCTTCATGTCCTGTCAATCCTTGGCCTCACTGCCAGGGGGGCTGAGCAGGGTGTCAGCTAATGCCAGCTGTGCTGGGAACCTGTAGAGTCTGGGCTGGAACACACAGCAGATTTCAAGGAATATGAGATATATCCACGCCTGTGACGGTCTTGCAGCAGCCTTTTTGCTTTCAGTGACCTAATCTGAGGTCAAGGAATTGATTTTGAGCCCACTGCAGGACATTCAGGTTTTGGTGCTGTGTGCATGTGAGAGGTCATTGATGTTAAAATCAAAGTTGGGTTCAAGGCCCTCAGCCAACCTCTCAAGAATTTCATTGTCTCCCCATAGCCCTCTTTTTTCCCCCAGATGAAGGGGTAGAATAACAGTTGTTTGGATTCTGGATAGCAGAAATAGATTATATAAATATGTACTATGCTAATATTTGCCCTTAGTCTACCAGATTAACTCATTTACCTAATTTCCTGTGTACTATAAAACACTTACTGTCCATCCCCTTTTCCTCTGGAGGCTCCAGCTTGTAATAAGGTCCTTGTGAGCTAATAAAGTATTTGGATGCTGATGCATTAAAAACCTGATTTCCTTTGCAAAAATAGTAGGAAATTGGGTAGATAGTAAATTAATCAGTACGACTTATTATCTACAGTGGGACAGCTGTTAAAAACACAAGGAAACAGGGAAAGTGCTTTGTAATATATAAAAGTAAAATAAAGCTGGAGGTTTCCCAAGCTTCAGAAAAGAAATTGCTTCAACTCTGTGGTGTGGGAGATTCATCCAAGCTTAACCTTTATTTTATTCACAGCTTTGAGGCTGTTTTTCAGCTACAATGAATTTTTCTACAGCCAACAAAAAACTCAATCCTGTTGCTTGCATGGCTTTGTTTTTTTGGTTTTTTTTGGTTTTTTTTTTTTTTCTTGTGGTTTTTGTTGTTTGGTATATTTTAAAATAAAATAAGCTATATATAAAAGTAGTCTCAGGATTTGAGGAATTTTCTTTGCTACATTTTAGGTGCTATCATGAAAATCAGATTGGTTTTACCTTAAAATTTTAATGAAAAGAAAGGGGTTTGTGTGCATTCAACTTGAAAGTATTTATTCATCTTAATAAGTATTCCAGGCCTGTGTTAGTGCAGCTGAAGCAATGCAGCTGAGCTTGTAGTTTTTTCCTCTGGTTATTCTGTATTTTTGTTTCTGTTTATGTGCACACCTCATGTGATGCTTGTGAGAATGGGGATGGTGCAGTTACTGAGTAACTGCTCTGCTGGCTTTCAGGATCCTGAATAATGGCAGAATGATTATTTTAATTCTTTGTCCCCTGATGCTTCCAATTGTGATATCCTCTCCTGAGTCACATCTAGAAAATGAGCTGTAGTTACTGCAATGACAACTGATGGATTTCCATGAGCCTTTCCTCTGACATTTTGTCTTTCATCCACAGACCCATTCTGAAGAGAGACCGTTCCAGTGTGAGGAATGCAAAGCCTTGTTCCGAACCCCCTTCTCTCTACAAAGACATTTGTTAATCCATAACAGTAAGTGCAAAGTCAGAGGAAAACAACTTTCTCCATTGTCTTATATGCCTAACAAAAGCAAACATGTGGCACCTTGCTCTAATATACAACTTGCTGTGTTAAATTGGTACTAGGACTCAACTCCATATCCAGGGCATTAAAAAATTCAGAGCCAAATTCAAACCTTGCCTTCAGATGGACTTAAATGCAAATCCAAATATGCTGTAGAAAATCCACAATGGTTTGAGGTCTGATGGCAAGAAATTTATTTCTTCATTAAGTGTGATAGTGTTACCCTCATTTTAAGAATGGACAAATGGTAACAGAGATAAGTTGGTGACTTGCTCAGCTTTTGTAGATAATCAGGTTAAGAGCTTGACACTGAGATTGTCTCTCCTGTGCCAGCCCAGGCTCATGTTTGCTGCTTCTGGCACAGAACTGAAGCAGCTCAGAGAAATGCTGTGGCCATTTTTGCTCATGAGTAACTTCCCTTGGCATTCTGTCCTTTTTTTTTTATTGACTGTATTATGATTTATTTTTGGTGGAATTTTCTCCATCTTTAATACTTGCAGAGCCCTAGACTATCATTCAACCCTTTGAAAATCAACAGTTTAAATTTTAGAAAATGCTCATGATCTAAAATCCTTAGCTTAGAAGACAGTACTTGGTTTTGGGGAATATTCACACTGACATAACTAAGAAAACCACAAATCTTTCCTTTTTTAATCTTGCATAACAATGTTTCTGTTAGACGAATTATTGGATTGGCATGTTCAGTTTCTTCTTTTACAATCATCTTTCAAAGCTTCTGCAATTTTTTAAAGCATTGGCTGTCATAATTTTTTTTCCCAGTGTTAAAAACGATGGGAGAAAATGTTAAAAACCCATTCAGTAATGTGTCTTCTAATGAACAAGCATTTGCAGAATATTCAAAATATGTAATTCACAGTGTGCATAATTTTAGGTTTTTGTGAAGATTTCTCTAAAAACATACACTGTGACCTTTTTTTAAGAGGGTGGAAGCTCAAGAAAACCTATTTTTCTCTTTAGGCGAGAGGACCTTCAAGTGTGATCACTGTGATGCCACTTTCAAAAGAAAGGACACATTAAATGTTCATATTCAAGTTGTACATGATGGACATAAGAAATACAAGTGTGACCTGTGTGACAAAGCTTTTGTGACACCCTCAGTTCTGAAGAGCCATAAGAAAGTGAGTAGAATCAACAGATAATTTCTTGTGTGTCCTTAAGGTTGTCATTCAGTGTAGAATCCTCAAAGCTGCTTCTGCCTTTCTGGCTTTTCAGTAGATTTTCCTTATCCTAAAATGCTGATTGCAGCAGTAGGGTTATTGGTGCCCAGCTGAATTACAGCTGGTGCTTGTGTATAAATTCAGCGGAGGTGCTCCAGCATCAGGTGTATGGCAGGATGCGCCTGACTGCCCTCTTTTGTACCAAACTCTGCCATGGGGTTGGGGTAAACCTTAGGAGAAGGCTTGCTCACTAGTTTGGCCTGAGGTAAGATTGATGTTACAGGGTAGAAATGCAAAGAAAATAATTGAATCAAGAAAAATCAGCTGAGAAGGTCAGTTTAGGTGCTGCCACCTAATTCTGATTGTGAGAATGTATTTAAAAACGTCCTGCATGTATTGCTTGCCATATAGTATGTGCTTCATACATACATGTAAAATGGGAATTGCTTTTGCTTTGTGTTCCTGTCAGACTAGGACTGGCTGTGTTGTAGTTTTACTGTATTGTTCCCAGAAATCCTTTTGGTATTTGGGAGTTTGGAATGAATTGGTAGCTGTCTGTCTGGTATATCCCAGACAGCTGCTAGAGATACAAATGATCTCCAAATGACTGTATCCTAATCAAGAGGAGTTTAGCATTTATATCTTTCATGTCAGGGAATGAAAACAGTGCAAGTCCATCCAGTATTGAAATGAGATCTCATTTACTCTTGCTTCAGCTGCAGCATAAAATGTACTATGTGAGAAATGTTTTGTTATGATGTAATGAAGAGTTTTTGTCATTACCGTGTGTTTTCATCAACATAAGAATTCATTTCACTATCTGAAGAGGAAACTGGAAACTGAAATAATCAGCTGCTCATATAATTGAATGTGTTATCTTTCCTATCTCATTTAAATTAACACTTCTAAATGAAGACATCAGAAATTCTCCACTAATAGAACAGCCACAGTGATAAGGAAAAATAATTTGATAGACTGATAAATCTTTAGTTCAGAGTTGTGTTTTGAAAGTGCAGTATGAAAAATGATGGTGACCTTATGTGTAATTGATATCAGGGTGATCTTACTGTTGACACACAGGTTGGCTGGGAGAGTTTGTAATACTTTTTTTTTCTGTTTTGAAATAATTCTTATAGCAGTGAGGTCTTCCATCCCAAAAAGCTTGATTTCAAAAGACAAACTCAGTGATTTAGTGCTGGTGATAGTTACAATGTTCTTTTTGTGATCAATTCTTTAACACCTAGAGCTAATTAGAGTCTTTGCCTGGTGCGATGGTAAAATACATAATAGAGGTAATAGCAGTCAATGTCAATACAATTAAATACTCCATAGTTCACTTTTTTATGTAATGCTGAACAGTCATTCTTGTCTTTCCCCTCCCCATGTAGACTCACACAGGAGAAAAAGAGAAAATTTGCCCATATTGTGGACAGAAGTTTGCAAGCAATGGAACACTGAGAGTTCATATCCGAAGCCATACAGGTATTTATTATGATGAACAGAGAAGACTTTCTGAATCTGTAACAGGGTGTATCTGTGTCCACAGTTTATCTGTCTACAAACAGGCAAATCTACAGGTAGGCTTAACACAGCAGCTTTGTCAGACATTTTACCAGCTTAATGTTGTCGGGTTTCATTTTGCAAGTTTACACTTTGATTCAAATAAGTAATGTCAGGTGGCTGAAAGAGGTTTCTTTGTGATGATTTGTTTACAACATAAAATGGTGTCAATTTGCCTTTGGAGTGACATTTTCTTCCCTCTGCATAACCAAGTTTGGCTTGCAGGGAGATGACAGTAATTTCTATGTGCTGCTTGCTGATGTTACCCATCAGTTTGCATCGAGCAGAAAGCCCCAGTTTTTCAAGCTCATAGTGTAGATGGCTCTTGGGAAGATGCTCTGGAGATGTGCGAGTAAAAATGCTTTTCACATGTGTGCTGCTACCAGTTAGATTTCAACTCTCTCAAGCAGGCTTTCCTAAATTTAGGAGTTGGACTACATGAGTTTTGTGAAACTAGACACCAGGGACATACCCTGAATATAGAGCCCTGCAAAATTTGTAGCCTCTATTATCAGAGGCTGTGATGTTTTGAGCTTACTTGAAGCAGAAAGGCATGGAAGGTTTCTAGTACCTTTGTAAATTAAATGCAGGAGGAGAAACTGCCTTGCCAGGAGATGATACAGGTTGGAATTACAGCAATATGGACTGTGGAAACAATTTATGAACAAATAATGCTGCAGGAAGGAAAGTCTCAAGGTCTCTTTTTTACCTAAGAAGCTATAAGCAGTCATTGTACAGTGACTAATTCAGGAAAAATGCCTTGCTAAATTAATTTATAATGACCTGCGATAAATAAACTCAGATTCTTTCCTCTTCCAGTCTTGCTGCTAGTCCAGTGTCAACTACATTTTTGGTGGTTTGCATCAGTTACTATGAGAATTAACCAAAATAGATATTTATGGTTACTTTTGTCACTCTGTTATGATTCCTGATCAATTTTTGATGATCCTGATGAATAACGGGGGAGGTTGCTTCTAAGTTGTGACTTTGGGTTTAAAAGGAATATTTGTATTATATGGCAAAATGCCTAACGTAGGGCTGAGTGAGAAAATGCCATAGTTGGATTCTTGTTGCAGATCGGGAGAGGTGGTTTTGTTTGGTGCTGTACCTGAAGGCTTCAGCCATTTTGTTCTTGGACATAACACAAGCCTACTGATCATGAGAGGAACTTGTTGTCCAGTGTTCAGTGAGCCTCAGGAAACATGGCTTTCTGAGGAATAGCTTGCATCATTCCCAAAGAACGTAATAGAAGCTGCTGAAGGAAATCTAGGTCATCTGCAAACAGGGTAAAAAAAAGTTGAGCACTCTTAAGTTCCCTACAATGTGAAAATCCTTGACAACTTTTCAGGGAATTTCTGAGCAGTAAGAAATTTTCAGTTCATCAAATAGTGGAGCCAAGAGCTTGCTTTATTCAGAGATGAATGTTTGGTTTCTAAATGTTGCAGTGATTAATACTTCATGGTATTGATGTCTGTTAAATTCTTTGGATTTGAATTAATCATTTCAAAACTATGCTATCCGTTTTCAGTCAGACTTCAAAGTATCGCTTTTCATTCTGAGCTAGAAGTGAAACAAGCAGCCACTGTCTGTTTTCAGTAGATGATTCATCCTTCTGAATAAGCTTTGAGCTTTTGGTGCAACTCAGCAGTCCACCACAAATGTAAATATTGCAAAGACTTCTTGTCTTAGTGATTACAAGTGATGAGGTTTTGAGGTCTGTGTCCAGACATTTGCATTATCCCATTTTTTTTTGGTCGTCAGCTAGACTTCGTTTTATTATCTACTTTGTGTGAGAGGTTTTGTTCTGTATTTACAAAACAGATTCAGGTAGTGGTTATTTTAAAGAGAGTTGTACATCACTTTTTGTCCTCCTTATATTTATAAAGTTATTCTTTACAAAAGCTGCGGTTCTAGGGTACATGTCTGGTTCTGCTTTGAAATTGTATTTTTAGTATGCTTAATAATCCATATACAGAAAGAGAAGCTCAGTGGGGTTTTGTCTTTTATTTAATATGCAGCATGTGCTCTTGAATGTTGTTCCACACAGACATGCATGCTTTCTGGATAAGCAATTTTCTTCCCTCTTCTGTGTTAGAATAAGACTCTGTAAATGAGCCCAAACAGTACTTGGCCTTTTGCAGCAGCTGAGCTGGTTTGGGGTGAGTGAACATGTCTGCATGTGCATGTACAGAGGGAAGGGGGTGATCTTTGCCTCTGAACCTGGGGTGTTGCTCTGTAATTCATCATCTGGGTTTCAGCCTTGGCATGACACAGACAGCACTCTGCAGGTCAGCTGAAACACTAGAGCACATTCTCCCTCTCCTGTATCCTGTTGGTTTATGACTTCTTAGGGTCACAGGGAGCTGGGGTTAATTCAGCAAAAGAATCTTTTGACTGTGATATAAATTCCTTGGCTTGTTCATAAATTGTAAAAGATCCTATGGTCCTGCTCCATGGGTTTAAAACCCGGGGGCTGGGAGGTTAATTGCTTCCCTGAAGTTTTAAGCAACTTTCAATGTTAGCAGTTTCTGGCTGAAGTTTGTGCAGCTTCTCAGTTACCTTATGCTTATCTGTTTAAAGGTGTTAATTGCTGTAGGGTGTGTGTATGGATTTGTGTGTGCCTGTGTGATCTGGGTATAAACACACACATGTTTTATTTGTCTGCTGTTTATACTGTCACCTTCCTAATTAGTTGTGTCCTAATCCCTTCTATCCTTGGGATGTAGCACATCAAGCTGTGCAACAGTGAAAGTTGTTCTGAAGTGGTTCATATTTGCAGGTAAATTTCTTTTAGAGTTAGGAGAATTAAGGGATTTCACTGTAATTCTGTCCTTTCTACTCTGTCCTTTCCCTACTGATACTTAAAGACTGATGAGGACCAATGAATGACCACAAACATCTTCCAGAAAATGTGCAAGTATTGGTTGAAATATAACCTTATTTTGCTTTTACCATCACAGTTAGTCCAAGTCCTGATGATAAGTCAGTAAGATAACTTATATCTGTCCTAAATGTTCTCTGAAAAGATAAGTTTTTCAATTTTATGTCATTAGAAAGCCATGAGTTATTGTATCTTTCTTACATGTTACATGCTCTGCTAGGTGCAAAAAGCAGGTTTGTTTTTTTAAGCATGAGCTGAGAAGGTTCTTTGCAAATTTACTTCCATGTGGATGAGTAAAAGATAATACCAAGAAATTACATTAAAACAGCAAAAAGCATTTGGACCACAGACTTCTATATCATTTGTGCCAACACGATATTTTTCAATTTATGTAAGAAGAGATTGCTTTATAAGCTTTCAGAAATACTTAACTTCAGCTGTTGATTGCCTTCTTGAAATGCCTCCTGCACTGAGAACCTGATGTTATGCACCTAATTTGGCCATTGTAGTCCCATTTCTACAACTTAACTAAGCTTTCGAGCATATTTACAATCCTACCTAAGTCCCAACTAGATAAATGTCTAAGCTCAAATTTTGCACTTCTAAGACAAAATTCCTGGGCAAGCAAAATATTAGTGGTGGAGTTCTAATAATAAAGATCTTTGGTTTTTAACAGTAGTTCAGTCATCTCTGAACACAGAAGACTTCAAAGTAGTTGAAGGAAGTAATGAGTTCAAGTACAGGATAACTTTTATTTATTATAGTGTAAAATATATCACCAAAGGTTTAATAGCTAAACAAGCAACTGTTTGTTCATGTACATAATAATGTACAGCCAGGGTCCTCATTCCAGCAGATCTTCTGCTAAATTACCTTACAAATAATTGATATTTTCTTACATAGGAAAAAGGATAAAAGACAAGCTTTTGAAGGAACTTCCTCTCATATGCCAGTGAAATATGTGAAAGAATGTATCTGTGTCTAGTCAGTGAACAGATTGCAAATGTCTACAGATAGGTTCTTTCTATTAATAACTTATAAATGATCCCCCTTTTATCTACCCAGCTTAAAAAAGAGCTTGCAGAAGGCCTCAAAGGTAAGGATTCTGCATTTTTAAACCTTTCAGTTTATACATCATTGTCTTGTTCGTCTCCAGACAACAGCTAAATCTTTAAAAATAACCTGTAAAGTTTCATGCAGCTGTCAACTTCTTGTTGTCTGTGCCCATGAATGAGGAAGTGTTCTTTTGAGGGGTAGATTATTTGAATGAGACATCTTTAGATCAAATGAGTTACTGATGGATTAATAAATGTTCTCTAAAAGACTTGGCTGACCACTGGGTTCACTGAATGTTACATTTTCCATTCATGGAGAAATCAGATTGTTTAATTCCACTGATAGCTGCAAAGAACAGAACTGGTTTGTTCTTTAAAGTTGTGTCTGTTTTTTATTTATTCCTTAAAATGACTTAAATCTTGATATCACTGTAGAACTGATAAGAGCCTGTAAGTAAAAATGGTAGTTTATGCTCTACTGCATGGATTCAGATAGTCTTCTTATTTTGTAGGGTTTTTTACTACTCTTTATGATTCATTTAGTGGCAAATAGCCAATATCTCAATTATGTTATCATAATTTTGATGGTCCAGATAGAGCAAACATTTTATTGGTCTTAACTAGAAATAATCTGAATTATTTGAATACACCCTAAACTTTGGAGAAAACAGACCACCTCAGCCATGAAAATACCACTTCTATACATCAAAAATTAAAGCATGGCTAGGTACTTAGAAAAAGATAAGTAATAGAAAGAAAATGTTTCAAGCCTTCTGGTTATCTCCTTTTTAAATAAAAGGATTTGACTGCTTCCCTATTTTGAAAGAATAGGATTTGACTGTTTTTAGTGGATGGGAAATGCACGTTGTTGATTTACATGAAACCAATTCTAGTTCTCCCTGGTGCCTGGAAAATGAGTGTTGGAGTTTGGTAATTCACAAATACACAAACTTAGAGTTATTAATCATCAGTGGGGAAACAAACCA